CATGGCCAAGGAATGCTCCGGTGTTGACGTCGGCAGATGCGTCCTCCATCTCAGCTCACTCGCGGCCAGGCACCTCCTTGCCAAACAAGCGTCTTGTACCTGTCCAAGTAGCCGCGGCCGATACTCCACGTCTTGCCGACGCCGACACTCCACAGCCGATACTCCCCGTGAGGTTGTTGAAAAGCCATTAACCCATCACTTTATTGCCTCACCTGATGAACTTATCTTTCCCACTAAGACACCTTACCCAGATAGAACTTTCGTGCAAAACAAAGTCTAGAACATTTCTCCACGGGCAATTGCGGTCCAGATGAATCTGCGGAGCCTTTTCCCCACGGGGAACTTTGACAGCCCACGTCCAGCCTCAAACCACTGAAGGCAATCGTAGCCGCCGATTATGCCCAGAATGCGCAGTGCGAACTTGGAACTGGAGCAACGGCGCGTCTCTCGGGCTTGGTATGGAAATGGCAAGGGCTCAGCGACGCCAAGAAATGCCATCGAGACTCGTCTGCCGCTGAAGACCTCGGCTAGCGGGCCAAAGAACACTCGCGGAGACCGCGCAAGCCGCGCACCCCGGTCATCAATCCGATGGTCTACGTAGACTGACCATTATTCAACCAGCAAGATGAATAATAATATCATGACAACATATCTCGCATAGGGAAACCGTACGCGCCCGCTCCAGCAAGCCCACCATCTCAGATCGAAGATGGCATCACCATTCATTCAGCTTCAGCTTCACTCGTCTTCCGTATCCCCAAATTTGTACAACTTCAACACACGTCGACTTCAAGATTAGGCCCATGCTTGGTCAAGAGACGAGTCATCTCGGCGTCAGAAGCCGCATATGTAAGACATGTGCGCCCCATTGTGTCAACAGCATTCGTGTCCGCACCTCCGAGAGTGAGCAGGCGAGCTGCATCGCGGTGAAACGGTCCAGTTCTTATCTTTTCTCTGCATTCAAGGGCAATGTGAAACGGCCTTTATCCTTTGTCGTTCCTCAGCTCAAGCCTCGCACCACGTCCGATGAAATATGGCAGAGCTTGCGCCACATGCCACCAGTGAGCAAGCATATTTAGAGCACCCTGCGTGGTCTGCATCTTATCGCTACCAAGTTTCATCGTGTTGCAGCTCATTTCGTTGATATCGGCACCGAATGATTCAATTAGCAGACAGAGAACGTCGAAGATTGGAAGCTCCATGTGGATGGCTTCCGGAATAAATGGCCTGGAACTCTTGTCTGACTCTTCCGCATCCAAGACGAATCGCTTTCGGTTCTCGGGTTTGTTATGCTCAGGTCTACACGAGAGACGCCCTCTTCTTGTCTCCTTTGGGCTTCCAGCTGGAGGATGCGATTTACCAGATACGTGACGCTGCCACGCATTAGCTCTTCTAAACCGGTGAACCCTAGACGCTGGTTTCAGCGAAGAAATCGACACCACAGTGAGAAAGCTCTTCCACAAGATAATACTGGCGTCGCTTTAGTATAGACCAAAGGAGTTTCCGATTCGGCGTCCCCTCCTTGATACCATCATAGTCCCGCAACGCCATGATGGTGGCATCGTCACGGTACTTGATGAGGTACTCGTCGGATGGTGTTTCATTCTGTTCGAATCGGTGACGAGGGGGACCAAGTCAACACTTTTGCGATGCTTCAGTCCAACACCTGAGGGTGTAATCTCCACATCCCAAGGAGGTAGTCGAAACACCCGCGAGCTTTTTATCCCATCGTCGTCCTTCCCAAGGCCATGAGAGATCTGCACCCTTATGAAGAAGCATGTCGATGATCTCACCAGGTCTGGCTGTTTCTTTTAACAGATGATTGTTGCCGTTATACTGGGGACGGGACAAGTCTGAGAGTTTGAGACCAGTTGCGTCTCCATTTCCTACCTAGTTCAGGAGCACGTCTGTGAGGAGCGTCCCATAGCGCATGCTCAGCTTCAGACAGATCGCAAGCCTCGCGAAGATCGGAGGCCATGGCATTGGCGCCCGCCTTGAGCAGCATAGCAACAATTTCGGGACGGCCTGATATGCAAGCATGATGAAGGGGTGTTTGGCTTTTTTGGTCTTCATTGTTGACACCGGGGATAGACAATTAGCAGTCATCTTCCAGCCAAGCACCTCGACGTGCGTGTTTGAATCGAGCTTTCTGGTAAAGGGAGCCCAACAATAGTCCGAAAATGTTGCTTTGCCTACTTCTAATGGCGAGGTGAAGTGGTGTCAAGCCTTCATTGGTTGCAACGTTCGGGTTAGCACCTGCGTCGAGCAGCTTCTGGGCATGGTATTTTGAAGTGGTGACAGCAATGTGCAGGGGAATGATGCCGTCTTCATCAGCGACATCGATGGTTTCCACCCGTGAGATGAGCAAATCCCTGGGGTATGTCGCGTCCGGTTCGCTCTACCCTCGGCGGGCCTTACATGACAGGTTGTGAACTGGCGTTCTGCCTTTCTTGTTCGTCTTCTCAAGATCTAGTCCCAGGTCTAAGAGCTGCTTCCAGACAGGAACGACACTGGCGAAGTTATCGAAGGTCGATGGATGCCAGCTGAGTTCGTGGAGCAAGATATTTCCATCGCTGTCGACAACATGCGGATCGAGTCCCAGGCTGATTAAGGAATCCAGTTGAGGATGTTCCTGGCAGTGAAAAAGTGTCTTTGAGCTCACGGGATGGCTTCTCACAGCTTCGTGCAACAAACTGCGACTTTGGACATCGCAAGTGTCGGGAATGGCACCCCGTTCTATCAATGAGTTCATGTTCTTATGAGGGTCTTGACGATCGGAAGTACGAGACTTGGTCATTCTGAAAAGTGCGGTACACCCATTCTTGTCCTTGGCATTAATGTCAGCTCCAGCACCGGGTAACATGTCCCATATTTCCTTCCCATAGTCGCCTGACAACCTCATGACGTCCATAGGTGTCATGTCAGACTTGTTTCTGAGATTGACGTCGGCACCTAACTCGATCAGTTTCTTGATGATTCTTGCGTCTAGGTTGGACTTTCCGAGGGCGACGTGCAATACCCCATTACCCTCGCTATCCACGACCTTACAGTCCGGGCCATACTCTAAAAGCTTGAGAGCCACGAATGTAGCGTTGCGATCGAGGAGGAAGAAGAGCGGCGTCTTTTCATTTGAAGGTACTGCCACATTCAAATTCGCGTGGCCATTCTCAATCAGTTGAGATATGTTGTCTGTATTTCCCGGATTGTGAAGCGGTGTGTGGCCCTTGTTGTCGGCGATATTTGGGTCAACGGATCTTTCAAGCAGTAAACTCGTCCACACAGGATTGTCTTTCGCCGAATGCAGCAGCGTTGGTCCATCTGAAAACCGTTGGTGGATATTCTCACCACACTCGGTGAATGCCTCGAATACCTCTCTACATGTAGCCGTTAAAGGGTCACTTGTTAGAGATGTCCTATGAGATCGAGTCGGGCCTTCGCAGGCAATGTACGGCACAGTAAGATCACTTCTTCTCCGTGGGTCGGATGTGTTTTCGGATTCCTCAATATCTGGCTCGGAGTCGCTGTCGGAGTCGTACTTTGGCGCATCACAGCCTCCGAACTCTTCGTCTCGTTGACATTAAATCGTAACGTCTTTTTGCCACTCTCTCAGCTGCCCAAGCCAAAGTCGGAGAAAACACAGAAGATTATGACGTGGAGCAAGATTGAGTGACCAGAATTCAATCAATCAGTTGCCTTAGATTTGGAAGTGGCTGCCTGTTGTGGGTGACGAATCACCGTTCAGTGATGTGAATCCTTCCAATTCTTGGCATCCTTAAGGGATTCTTCCAGGGGCTCTCACCACTCAGAGAATTCTTCATTTCAGGTGTAAACCATCCAATATCAGAGGATCATGAATCCTACGAAGACGATGGTTCAATGAAGCCTACAGGCTAGAATCCGACCCCTCCCAAGTGCTATGTATCAGGCCCGTATCATGCTATTCATGATCAATGCCTGCGCTAACTGGCATCATAACTGGTTAGCACTTTCTTAAAGGATGGATTGAACCTCTCTCTAAATGTCTCCTAAGAGGTTATCATAGAGCCCTTAGAGTTTGTATCCCACCGGTTCGTTCTGAGGTGAGAGTGGGATGCCGATAACTAGTCCTGAATAGCCCAGCTAAGGACCTCCACCGCCGGCCCGCCCTGCCGAGAGATGGAATGTGGCATCAGATCTTGATATTTGAAACCTAGGCTGATGGATCTTCAGCGCAAACTCAAAGATATTGCGAAGACCATAGGGTTCCATCCCACATCTAGTGTTTCTCAGTCCCTGCATCCACGTTACGGGATCGACCCGAAACCTAATTCATGGCTTTGGCTTAGGTTGAGACCCTGGACCTTAGGACGGGACCGTTTTCTCAGCTAAGACACTACGTGCCCAATGTTATTCTTTAGCAGCTTATATGTGTCAAGCCAAGTAGACGTAGTTCTGCCGAGATTGCGGATGTACCGATTCTTGTTCCCTTGAACAGTCACCTGGACCATGTTCTTATGGATCCGGTTTTCGATGCACCGGCTACCAGAAATACACAAATGCAAGAATTCCCGATGATTGGGACATCAGCCACAAAACTGAAGATATTCGAGGATTGAGTCAATGGTGTTTAGAGACGGAACCATAAAATACTCGCCGTCGATCTAACGGTGCCCCGCTCCGCAATATCTCCGCAGCGAAACTCTATTTCGCGGCCCCTGCATCGTGAACTCCCTGTTTAGTGCGACGCGGACTACATGCCAATTTTCCTTCTCAACATCACAAGGTACACCACAATGGGCCGAAGATCCAAACAGACGTCTTGTTTTCCATGTGTTGAGGCCAAGCGGCGTTGCGATCGGACACTCCCCGCCTGTTCCCGATGTCTAGATCGGGACGTTGACTGCGCATACCCACCGGTCCGCCGGTCATGGCTCCGTCCGCCGCCAGATTCTCTCGATCCGGGGTCGCAGGCCGTTTTCAATTGGGACTTGGGGTCAGCCTGGCCTGCAGTACAGGATGACATGAACGACATTGCCCTGCAGGTGGAGGGTACCGACGCCCTAACGGACACCTTCTTCGCTTCCGACCAGGTAGCTGATGTGCCGAGCACTCTATCCCTCGGGATCGACCACAACCTCGAGGCATCGTCATCATCCTCAATCACAAATCCCAATCATTCAAACAGCGAAACGAGTCCCGATCAGCTCAGCCCCACCGTGGAGCGTCTAAGCTGGTTCCTGAGCTCCCCGTCCTGGGCCATCGCCTACCACTACCACCCGCCGGGATCCATCCCTCCGGCCGCCGTGTTCACCAACTTCGTCCGCGGCCTGCAGGACTGGCTCGTCCGCTTCCTCCGCAAAGGCCACAACCCCTTCATCCACCGCAACCTCTACACCGAATCGAGCATGCCCCGCTGCCTCCAAGATGCGTACGCCGCCATCGCCATCGCGCAGAACGTCACGCCAGACAACGAACACGTGGTCGACGCCACCTCCGCGACCTACATCCTGGACCTGATCGCCAGCCACTCGGCGGCGGAGCCGGCGTTTTCCCTGCTCACCACGAGAGAACACCTCGCTCGCACGCAGGCCCTCCTAATCCACCTCTTGCTGTCCCTTTTCTCCCCCTCCATATCCCGCCGCGCCAAGGCGGAGAGCCTGATCGACACGCTCCGCCTGTGGGCCCAGCAGCTCTGGGAGTCTGCCGCGCTCGACGCGACCTCGTCGTCCATCTGCTCGAATACCCTGTCGTTGCCTGAAGACGCTGGCGCCGACACAACAGACATGGTGCAGAATCTGTATCGGGCGTTTGTTCTGTCAGAGTCGATCCGCCGGACGTACCTGCTGACGAGCATCGCTACTGGCGTGTACGGCGCTCTCAAGGCAACGTGGTCCGAGACGTGCGGCGGGGATATATGCATCACCGCGCGTGCGGAGCTGTGGGACGCGCCTTCGTCCGCGCGGTGGGAGTCTAGCGCTCGCAAGGCGGATCCGTTGTTTTTGCATAGTCTGCACGGGCAGAGTTTGGTTGAGCGCGGGATACCTGCTGCGGAGGTTGATGAGTTTGCGAGGCTGCTGTTCACGGTGATGTGGGGGCTTGAGAAGGTGGAGCGTTGGGTTGTGAGTACTGGCGATAGTGTATCTGTCATGTATTGAGGGTGTACGACTCCCTGTCACGATGCACCTCAATTGTAAGATAAGGCACATAACATTGGTCTATCTCTATTTGGCGAATGAGCAGACTATTCTTCCACAGATTGAAATAAGGATTTTGCCATGCATGCGGTTTCGTACGCGGGACTTCGCTACTGACTTCACCAACTTTGCAGAGATGGTAAACCCTCATCAGCCATCCTTCTGTTGATTTCGTCCGTGGCGGTGTTCCAGAGCCCCCTCACTTGCTCTTCATCTGACGCCACCGAAGCAGGAGCACCGATCTTCCCCACCGGCAACAGAAATCGCCCTTTGTATGCAGCCGGATTCTCCTTCACATCTCTCGAAGCTGCCGCAAACAGCGAGGTTGCAGCACCTTGCTCCGGCGAGAGAAACGTCAAGCGCGCAATGGTCCTGACCATGGCGTTGTTAATGGAGAACACGCCCTCTGTGGCGACCTCTCCCGGGTGCACCGCAACAGATATGATGGGCAAACCCTGCTTGTCCAGCCTTCTCTGCAACTCTTGCGCAAAAATTAGGTTGGCCGCTTTGGAGACCGCGTAGCGAATCATGTCGAAGCCAAAGGCGAACTTGCCGAAATAGCGCCACTGCCAGGGGTGCGACGGGACCGGGTTGCGGAGGCAGTCGGGCGAGTTGAAGGAGAACTTGAAGCCGCTGGGTAGCATCGCAACCTGAGCGGTGGAGGTTAGAGTGACGATGCGGACGTCGGCGTCTTTCTCCGCGGCCGCACTTTGGAGTAATGGGAGAAGGCGGTTCGTGAGCGCAAAGGGGCCCACGAAACTGTTGCTACTAGTCAGATGAAGACATTTCCTTTGACTCACAGAACTCACTTCACAGCCATATGAGGCTCCCAACCCGCGCCAACTGGTTCGTTTGACCAGGTTGCTGCTGCTGCGTTGTGGACTTCCAAAGTGTCAGCATGGATGACGTCTTCTTCCGGGTTGGGTACGGGCAAGTGACATACTCAGGAGGTCAAGCCTTTCCTCCTGTGTCTTCAACCAATCCACTGCGGCCGTGATGCTACGCATATCCGTGAGGTCCATCTTGACCCATTGGAGATTTTGCGGCTTGATCTGGGGGCTTTTGTCTAGAATGAGCCTTCGTGTCTGCACACCTTTGGCCTCGGATCGCACCGTCAGATACACTTTGGCGCCATTCAGCGCAAGATATCTGGCTGTCTCGCGTCCAATGTCACTGCTGTAGGAAGAATCGTGTAAGCTGAGGCTTGTTGAATGTGGGTGGGTTGGCTTACTTCGCGCCGGTGATGACAGCAACTTTCCCATGCAGTGAAAGGACAATGTTCTCTGGATTCCATTCGGTCGTCATATTCACGGTGTTAAATCAGACAAGTTGAGATTTTCTGTCGCCTTTTTCGACATGTTTTTATTCAGTGCTGGATAGCGAGCTGGAGACCGGCATATATCTACACTGTAACTGTATTCACCTAACAATTAAATAACCTCTTCACACATATCAAAACACAATGCTATAATAAGTACGATTGCAGCAATCTTCGTCCTCCAAAAAGCATATTTAAGATTTGCGGACATGGAGCGGAGGATCTGCGGACGTATCGCGGAAGAAAGTGGGGCTAGGGAACCGGAGCTCAAGGCCCCATTTCTGAGGCGTCAGTCATCGGAAAGCCACTCATCCCGGTGCTTGTAGCACACGACCCGACAGCTCGCACCTCAGAAGCAGTGAAACCACAGGTGCAGCCTTCGGGTCTATGTGATTTGGGACGATCGCCTGTCTCTCATTCGCAGGCACTGGTTGATTGCCTGAGCTTTGGGTTCTGCAACTGCGGTTTTGGGCCCAAGCTCCTGCCGCGTCTGGGTGGCACGTGCCTCCTGCCGGATAGGAAGCTCCGCCCAGCGCTGTGGACGACGGGAACTCACCTACGTCATGGGCTGGTCACCCTTCGAATTCCACCACGCAACACGACTGTTCATCGCGACTTCACGTCAACAACCTCCAAGCTCCTAGCGACAGGATACACCACATTCGACCCGGGCATAAATGAGTTGACGCGCATATCCAACACATCGTCCTACGGCTTCAATATTAAGTGGCGCACGATGCTATCCTGCTTCGGGTTCGGCAAGTCGCGCGAGGATCGCGAGCGAGAGCCTCTGCTGCCGCGCTACAATGACGACACGGCGCTCCAGCAGCGGCTGCACGAGAAGCTGCACACGTATCAGATGCTGAGAGCTCTCGGCAAGGGATACATGCCGTCCAACGAGCAGCTCATCGTCAACCTGCGCACCCTGCTGTCTTGCGACATCCTTAACCCCGATACGCCAGACCTTAGCGACTCTGGGCGCAAGCTCATCCTCAACGTCAAGCTCCTGATCAAGCAGCTGATTGAGCTCCTACTGCACAAGAACGACCAGGACCAGATTCAAGATTTTATCTGGTACTTGACGAAAGCTCGCTTGTCCATCGACGCCTACGACATTGGTGCTCGAGCGTCAAAAGCCAGGGCCAGAGCCGATACAGTTGCTGGTGGGTCGATCCCTACTGACACCTTAACATCGTGGATGCCGTGTACTGGGAGGACCCCACGTTCCATCAAAGTCAAATAGATGAAAGCCTGACTGGACTTTAAACTGACAATTGCCAAGCATACAAAAGCTTACAAACCGTCGGCTCTCTCTTCTTAACCAATTCTGACTTTCGCCTTCTGCTATCGGACCTCGGCACCATTGGTCGAGAGGTGTTCCGCGACACAGCCTTCACCCTATCCGACGTGTCCAAGCAGGCCGCCAAGAAAATCGAGCCCTCCAAAGAGGAAGAGGAAGCTCTCCGACACCCGAACGGGGACTCGAAGCCTCCCCCTTCCAAGGACGACTTCCAAGATGAGGTCGTCGAGGTTTCCCAGGTCGTTGCTGATGGCGTCGCCAAAGTCGCAGATGAAGCCAGCCAGAGCTTAGTGGATCATGTCACCGGCGACGAACAAGAGACCATCGTGCACCGATTGAAAAAGACGATTCTGAATTTGCGCGACCGCAAAGACTACTCTGACTCGGTGTCCACGCTGTCTCTTCTGATCAGACGATATCTTTTGGTTTACTCGCACGCCATCTCCGACACCATCGAAGTTGCGCAGGATGACATCAACACCAACCCCGAGGCGGATCGGGCTCTGAAGAACTTCTGGCTCTTTTTGACCTCACTCGGTGATCGCAACCATTGGAACGAAGTCGAACGCATGTTCAAAGTTGTTATGGAGCACGGCCGAAGTGACCCTGAGTTTGACGAACTTGTCAGGCAAATCGGCAATTTGCTGCAAGACATGCTGACGGATCCCGACTTTTTCGAACATGCGGAAGACCGCTTCAAGGAGTTGAGGGCCAAGTCAAAGGAGCTTACATCTGAGTCATCCGTCAGGGATGATCTCGACGCATTGCTCGACAAAGTTCAACTGGCCTTGCACTCAGTGCTTGAAGATGCCGACATCAAAAAGGTGCTCAACACCACCCAAAGAATCCTCAAAATTCTGTCGCCTGCCCATCAATACACGAACGGGGAGTTGGTGGCGGACTCTGTCAACGTCTTCATCCCCTTGCTCGTGCAGGCTATTCAATACGTGCCAATTCCTCGCTTGGAGGTTTCAGCACCGGCAATCGACCTCCTTTTGGAGAACCTAATTTTGGAACCAGGACGCACCGTCAACAACAGCTCTTTCCTCCCCTACAAGATCAATATATCGACCCAGAATGATGTCGAAATTCGCAAGGCCCGCTTCCGGACGACTTCCACAGTGAAAACGCTGATGCGAATTACCATATCGGGCCTGTCAATTGCCGCGGAGGATCTGGGCTTTTGGCTCCGCCTTCATTCGGGAATATTGAGGCTAGCCGATGCTGGCATCGCTGGATTCCACCTTGATGAGCGAGGCATCGATGTTGCCATTGATGTGGAGGTCGGAAAGGAGCGACTTGAGCACATATTAACTCTTCACAATGTCCGAGTTCGCATCCACCATCTCAATTATACGCTCCGCAAGAGTAAATTCGCCTGCCTCGCTTGGGTGCTGAAGCCGATTATACGACCAATTGTCAAGGCCGCATTGGAAGCCCAGATTGCTGCCAGCATCGGCGAGTTGCTTCATTTCGCTAACAGAGAACTTGTTTTTGCTCGTGAGCGGCTCAGGGCCACCCGCATCGCCGACCCGCAGGACTTGTGGACATTCCTCAAGGCCGTGGCAGCGAGATTGGTGCCTCCGGAGGATCCAGATCTCTACACCCGAGTGGGCGTTGCGCAACCCGGCCGGGGTGTCTTCAAGGGGGTCTATGCCCCCGGCAGTCTCGTCAAAATGTGGAACGAGGAGGCGGCCCTGGCAGGCGACCGAGTGCACGAATATCAGAGAGACGGGTGGCGCAATGCAATCTTTGACATTGGCACTACAACGGTCTGACGTTGCAGTGCTGCTGGCGGGTAAATGGCGCAGTCGCAGTCAGCCGACGGAAGACTGCAGTTTGTACGAAAAACATCAGGGACAAGACACGGCACGGAGGGCAACGGTATGGAGTCAAAAGCAGCATGTTTTTTGATGTATTCCTAGAGGCGATAACAGGGGAAACAGGACCTTCTACAGAAATGGCAAGTCGTTAAATCATCAAAAAGCATGTGCTTATGGCGCGAAGTGGCGGATGCTTCCGGCAGATGCGCTGCATGCTACGCTGCCAGCAAGCAGTCTGTGTGCTAGCTGTGCAGCTTCCCGAAAGCAACCAGCCGCCGGTGCAATTGTTGTCCCAGCCTACCATCGAGACAACTTGTCAGCCTGCAATGCACAGGTCGCTGCCGCCGTTGTGTTCGCTTGACACCTCAATCGAGCAGGAGCATAGTGACACGATCTGTGCCAAGGTCAATTCACTAGAGCTTAAACGGATGTTTGCCTTGAACAAGTTTACGTCTAGAGGGGCTCAGTACAACAGCTTCCCTATTTACTCGGGTTACATGAGTTTAATCAACCGACGTCTACAGCCACAGGCGCGTATCAAGCGCCGGAAACCGTGGAATGCGCGGGCCCAGCAAGAAGGACTCCGTGATGCCATGAGCACATGCCGGTGTTGGCTCGAGTCATCAAGCACTATGCTCCCGACGTCGAAATACCGTTACAACGCCCCTTGCAGTGCGCCACCCCGTTATTGGCGTCGCACAGCGACCGATTGCTGTGGGGCTCCCGAAACTTACCGGTGCTTGAATTCGGGACGTCTCTTTTGGAGGAAGGCCGACATCCCTTCATTGAAATCGCCAAGGCTAAAAGTCGAGTAGTAGAGAGATTTCTCCATGGTCATCCCGGCGTCCAAGTGGCTATTTTCAACTGTGACGGGGTCAGCGAGTCATAATTACAGGGACCCGCCCCCTCGATCCCTAAGTGGAATCCGGAAGCCATCCCCCAAACAGAGAAAAGGGAGAGAGAGTGAGGGAACCCACCGGTGAGGACAGCCTGCTTAGCCGTCTTGACGACGGGGCCCGACATGACGGCAATGCGCTCAGCGAGCTTGAGGGCCGCTGGGACGACCTCTGCGCGCGGGAACACCTTGTTGACCACGCCCAGTCGCTCAAACTCGGCTCCGCTTGCTGAATCGCCCGTCAGGACGAACTCCATAGCCTAACAGCCGTTAGTTGCAATCTATCTCTAGGGCGCAGTGCGCTAGCTCATTGGAGAGTGAGTCGATAAAGATGAACGGGTCAAACTTTAAGTTGATCTTCGTTCTCGGCTTGACTTACCTTGTGCTTTCCAAGGGCGCGCGCCAGCCGTTGAGTTCCGCCAGCACCCGGGATGGTTCCGATCTTGATCTCAGGGAGGCCGAAGGAGGCGTCCTCAGCGGCATAGATCATGTCGCACTATCGAATGTGATGAGCACAGCACGTACACGCCCAAAGCGACTTTTCTCGCCTAGCAGCAAGACCGTGGGGGGGGCTCATGTCACTTACCGCCAGAGCAATCTCGCAGCCACCGCCCAACTTGAGGCTCGCGCATTAGCCAGGTTTTTCCAAGTTCTGGAGGGAGGAAAAGAAAGCAATTGGACCGAGGGGAGTCGCCTTAGGGCGCCAAAACGGCCTACCGCCCAGCCAAGACGCCAAATGCACGACGACGACGGCGGCGGAAAACAACTTACGGCACATCCGACAACAGCCGCGATGATGGGCTTGGAGAACCTGGCAAAGGCGTCTGTTAGGTCCTTGAGGAAGGCCCTGTTGTGGGCCTCTGCCGTGGAGATCTGCACCAGCTCGTTCAGATCCATTCCGGCTGCACCATAAAACGGATTAGCTAACGTTATGGTGTCCATTAGATTAGATGAAAGGTCCGCCTGCTGGGGCCCCCGTCGAGGATTTTCATGACGTTTCAGAGATTCAGAAACGTCGACGTTCCAACGACGGACGGAGGGCGGGCCCACTACCGCCTTTGTGTATCACGTCCGTGGGGAATCAGATGGAGATGGGATGGCAGTTGCGGTGCCTTTCAGGCTTGACTGCCGTGTGCGGCGCCGCGCCTGTTGGTGATGCGCCTGGATGCACGTGGTAAGGGGGGCCAGGCCAACCTGCGCGTGTTGATTGACAAGCAACTGCAAGAAACAGCAGATGCCGAGGGGGAAAAACGAAGGGGAGGGGAGGGGGTCGAGATTTCGAACGCATGAGGGGGTGTTTGTCTGTCGCACCAAGACTTCAAGATCCCAAACGGCCAACACTAGAGCTTTTGGGATGCAAGAAATTTTGGGGAAAGAAACATGGACATGTCTCGAGTGCTGAAGCTGGAAGCTGGAAAACTGGACAGAAGACGAAACGTACCGCAAAAGGGTCCATCAGGGCCGCCGGTGATGACCACGGCGCGGACGGCTTCCAAGGCATCGAGATGCACCAGTGTCGCGATAATTTCGCCGATCATGACCTGAGAGAAGGCGTTTCTCTTGGCCGGGCGGTTGAATCGAACGAGGGCGACGCCCTTGTCGGCTTCCACGGTCAACTCGAGCGTTTGCAGGCTGTCCATATTGGAAGAAACCTCGGGATGGCGAGAGAATCAGAGTGGGAGCTGAAAAAAACAAGCAAAAACGTGGTGAGCGAAATTGGAGAAATGGAGACAACGGGCGGGGGACCGGTTGGGATTGACTTGGAATGAGAGTCAAAAGCGTGGTGAGCACATGGCAAGAGACAAAGAAGTTGGACGTTTTCTTCTTGATACTTTTTTATTTTTTCCGTCGTTGCTTCTTTCCCCTCACGAGGTTTTGCTTCTTCACTAACACCGAGCGCGCAGTCCAGGAGGGCCGCCCTGTTATGACCGAATTCGGCCGACCGACGAGGGTGAGGGGAAACAGTGCGTCGCAGGGTCCTTTTCAGGGTCGCATCCGACTGGAGCCTCCAAAAATGCACAGGAGCAGCAGTGCGGATAATCAGAGGGTGAGTTGAGTGCAGTTGGTGAGGGGGAGGGAGGGCGGCCGAACACTTTGAACGGTCAAGACAGGCGTGAGGAGCCGCGAAGATCAGGGTTTATCCCGGCCGGCCGGCGACCGTCGCCCAACCGGGGAGGAGGCGACACCACCAACATCATTTCATCATTCGCATCAGGGACGGGACGTGGGTTGAGAGAAAGTTGTTCGAGACGGAGCACAGCGCAGAGATGACAAGGGGCCGTCAAAGTTCACGCATCGGCTGTGAATCCGCAAGCGCCTGGCAAATCCTCCACGATCGATGGTACGTACTGGAGGAGCAATCCGTCAAGTAATGGGACTGATTGACAACAACTTTGTAAGCCCCCCCTGACGAACCCTTCTCCCCCCGTCCCCTTACCCCTACTCCCCTGCACCGGGGGATGTTCAAGGGAGCCCCTAAATCCTGACGTCCTGTCCACAAAGTCCCTTGCTACAGTCCAACTTCACGTCGTCCAAGGTCCAGGTCCGCCAGCAACAGCAAGTCCTGAGGAAACAGCTGCCGCATTGGGCGGATCTGGTCCGGATCGACCTCCGTTTTTCCCGCATTTGGAGGTCTCGTCCGGGCCAGCCCCGCCGTTCCGCACAGCTGTTCCGCACAACAACTGTTACCGCGGGATGGAGACAGGGCCGCAGGCGCGTTACAACCAAATTTCTGCCCGTTTTGGGGCCCTAAATTCAACCTAGTCGGTTTGGCCTACCACTTGCTCTCTACGGATACCGTGTTATGGTTATGGATACCTGCAGACTAACGGCAAATCTCCAGCACTACTAGGCCTGTATGCGTACATAGTACACGCGCTCGTAAGGGAGGCGTATTCTCGACCGTGCCCCGGTGTGCCCCTTGGCGCTCGGGGCTTTTTCTTGGTGATGGATGCAAAATGCTTCCAGGACTCCTGCTGCTTGCGCCCATCATCCAGCACATCATCCCGTCATGATCCCTGGCTTTTGCGGAGTACGGCCAAGTATCCGCTCGTCCGTTGCTGCTTTCGTTTACGGTTTGACGGTTCCTAGAAGACATCCGATTACAAGGCCCCCCATGGTGTTGTGAGAAAGCTCCTCCGTCCTGCTTGCTACCTACCTAGCTCATCAATACAGGCAGCCCGGTTCTCCACCGCATCTAAAACATTTGTTCTGCACTCTGCGTAGTAGGCAGGAGCTGAAAGAAGCAACGAGGCCCAGCCCTGATATCCATGCCTCGGCGTCTGGCCAGGGTGTTCTAGAAGCTGCAACCTTGTTCGTTCACGGAGCTCGACGCAGGTTTTTGGCGAATTTGCCAAACGGGATGGAGCTGTGGTTCGGATGACAGGGCTTCTGCACGGCCTTTCGTCTTGGCATCTCGCGAGATGGCCACGCGCCTACCGGTACACACAGACGAGCAAGGCGAGACATGGCAAGGAAGTTGACATGGAGACAACGGGGGCGTGGGCGTGTTGATGGTCTAGACGCAGCAGGCAGATAGGGATATATCTGCCTCGCGGTTCCCACCTCTCCTCGTTCGAGCTATGGTTATCCCTCGCGTCACTGGTGGGCACAATCACTCAAGAGCATCAACTTCTAGCTCTACTAATCATGGTCTCCTCGCGTTCCTTCCACTCGCTGGAAAGCCTCTCCCTGGCGGATCGAGTGCTTTTCAACCAGTTCAGCAGGGGCCCGAGTGATGTGATCCCCTACCACGTCGTCCACCACGCCTTCGAATCCATCGCCGCGGCGCATCCCGACGTCACCGCCGTCCGCCACTACGATGGCACGACAATCACATACCGCGAGCTCAACCGCCGCGCCAACATCCTCGCCAACGAGCTGCGGGGCACCCACGGCCTCAGGAAGGGGGACCGCGTCGTGCTCGTCTACTCGCGCTGCATCGAGATGGTCGTCTTCATCCTCGCCGTCCTCAAGGCCGGTGGCCAGTACGTCCCCCTCGACGGCGGCATCATCCCGGAAGACACCCTCGGCTACGACATTGCCGACTCCGGCGCCCCCGTCGTGCTGTGCCTGCCCAAGTTCAGGGAGAAGGTCCTGCGCAGCATACCTGACGACAGGCGAGATGTGGTGAGAGTCGTCGACCTCGACGCGAACAGCTGGCTGTGGAAGCACGGCAACGCGGGCCACCCCGGCGTGATCGTCAAGCCCGAGGACGGCGCCTACGTGATCTATACCTCGGGCACCACCGGCCGGCCCAAGGGCGTGGATGTGAGACACGAGGGCGTTACCAACACCCTTCTAGCGGAGCCGTCGAAGCTGGGCATCCGTGTGGGAAAGAACGTGGCGCAACAGTTGAACGTCGGTTTCGATATGTGTAAGTCAAATGTCTCAAACTCTAAACTCCCACTTTCAGCTTTCATTGTTTGGCTGACGCGGCACACACACGGATAGGCGCATGGGAGATTCTGGGAACAATGATGAACGGCGGAACCCTGCACATCAGGGGCAGCGGCAACGACCTCTGGACGGACTGCTTGCAGCGCGTCGACACCGTCATCGCGACGCCGTCGGTCGTCCTCAAGCACATGCCCAACCGCGAGGACTTCCCCAACATCAGAACCATCGCCGTCGGCGGCGAACCCTGCCCGTTGGCGCTCGCCGAACAGTGGGCGCCCTACATCAAGTTCTGGAACGTCTGCGGCCCGACCGAGATCAGCATCCTCAACACGGCGCACCTCCACAAGCCCGGCAAGACGCTGTCTATCGGCAAACCCAACCCAAACACCAACGTCTACGTCCTCGACGAGAATGAGAACCCCGTCCCCATCGGCCAGCCGGGTGTCATGTGGGCCGGCGGTCCAGGCGTGTCCAGAGGCTATCTCAACCTGCCCGAGCTAACCTCTCAGAGATATAAGCTGGACAAGTTCACTCAAGACGGGTTAGTCCAGTTCCCTCCCTCCTCCCACCGTCCCATTAACCCGGCCGAGAGAAAATGCCACTGACATTAAAACTCACAGTCGTATGATGTTCAACACCGGCGACCTGGCCCGCTGGCTGGAGGACGGCAGTCTCGAGCCCCTCGGCCGCAAGGACGACCAGGTCAAGATCTCTGGTTTCCGCGTCGAGCTCGACGGCGTCTCCCGCGCCATTGAGAAGCACTCTGCCGTCACCAAGGGCTGCGCGCTCAAGATCGAGGACCGCCTCTGGGGCTTCTACTCCTCCGCCGCTCCCATCGACGAGGCCGAGCTCAAGACTATTGTCGGCGAGGGTCAGCCTTTCTACGCTGTTCCCACGGTCTGGAAGTATCTCCCCGTCATCGAGCTCACCCCCAACGGCAAGGTCGACAAGCGCGTGCTCCGCGATATCGCTGGCGGTGCTGCTCCTTCTCCCCTTCCGCCCATTTCCACCTCCATGTCCACGCCCCAGACTGGCTCCTCCGCCTCCTCCATCAGGACCGAGGTGGCATCGCCAACAAAGAGCGAATCTGGCTGCACGCTCGTCGACTCCCGCAACTTCACCGTCGTTCCCTCCCGTGGAAGCGACCCAGACCTGGAGAAGACCGCCGCCTTCGTGGAGGAAGAGGCCGAGAAGCAGGAAGACTACGAGCTCCCCTCCAAGAACGGCTTCCATGGCTGGCGCTGGATCCGCCATCGCGGTCTGAACGCCTACCGCAAGCTGTTCGGCGTCATCTTCCTCGCCAACCTCGCCACCTTTGTCTTCCTCCTGTGGGACGCCCGCGAGAACAACTTCTCTCTGCCCCTGAACCACCTCGCCACCGCCGTCGCCGCAAACCTCCTCGGCGCCGTCCTCCTCCGCCAGGACTACGTCGTCAACTTCATCTTCTGGCTCTGCTCCCGCGTCCCCACCTCCGTGCCGCTCTCCATCCGCCGCCACTTCGCCCGTGTCTACCACAACGGCGGCGTCCACTCCGGCTGCGCCGTCTCCGCCACCGTCTGGTGGGTCATCTTCACCGGCGCCGCCACCGGCAACTTCCTCGCCTCGAACCCGCTCCACTCCGTCTCCCTCATCACCCTAGTCCTCACTTACCTCATCCTCCTCCTCCTCCTCGCCATCCTCGTCATGGCATACCCCTCCATCCGCGGCAAGATGCACGACCAGTTCGAGTGGACGCACCGCTTCGCAGGCTGGTCCGCCCTCGCCCTCGTCTGGGCCCACGTCGTCGCCACCGCCGCCTCCTCCGCCTCGCCCACCGCCCCCCTCGGCGCCACCCTCGCAAAGACGCCCGCCCTCTACCTCGTCGCCCTCACCACTCTCAGCATTGCCCTCCCCTGGATGCGCCTCCGCCGCGTCAAGGTCGTCCCGGAGCCCCTCTCCAAGCACGCCGTCCGCCTGCACTTCGACTTCACCACCCCGGGCCCCTGCACCTCGCGCGGCGTGCGCATCACCGACCGCCCCATGGTCGAGTGGCACGCCTTCGCCGCGATCCCCGAGCCCGACGGCCCCGGCTTCTCCATCGTCGTTTCCAAGGCCGGCGACTGGACCAAGCGCATCATCGAGAACCCGCCCACCTCCATCTGGACCCGCGGCACCCCGGCCTCGGGCGTCCTCGCCGTCGCGCCCCTCTTCAAGAAGATGGTCCTCGTCGCCACCGGCTCCGGCATCGGGCCCTGCCTGCCCGTCCTCATGGAGCGCCGCGTCCCCGCGCGCGTGGTGTGGTCCACCAAGAACCCGCTCAAGACGTACGGCCAGGGCATCATGGACACCATCCTCAAGGCGGACCCGGATGCGCTCATCTGGGACACGGACCAGCTCGGCCGGCCCAACCTCGTGCAGCTCGCGTACAATGTGTACAAGGAGAGCGGCGCCGAGTGCGTTGCCATCATCTCGAACGGGCCCACGACGAATAAGTTTGTGTACCAGATGGAGAGCAGAGGTATTCCTGCGTTTGGGCCCATTTGGGATTCTTAAACATTTTTGAGTTGGGAATTTTCTTTGGGGGTTATGGTATTTATGTGTGTTGAAGCATTGCGGTTGGGGGGCTGGCTTTCTTGAGCGAAAATTGCTGCTGGTCTTTGTCCATATTTTCTTGTGTCTATTTTTTACTTTTTTCTCCGTCCTCGGGATTGGAAGGGTTATACCATCTACGACTGTCACTATTGTGTATAAAAGTACTAGTGCTGTGCGGGCTACATCGGGATATGTAGTTTGGACTAAATCTATAAGATTCATCATAACTTCTGTCTGTCTTGAAGTCTGTTGTGTCATCCGTCTAATTGAACTCACGTACCACTGCCCACTGAATGCAATCATCATATACGACTAGGCGTATAATTGGGTAGACCTTCGAGATAGACCTCTAGGCAACAGCTGTGTTTGAGACTCTTCACATCAGAGATAAAAAGACAAGAATAATCAAGGAAAGCAGTTCGCCACGTTACCTGGCCTGCCGTCAAAGAAAGAGCAACCCATGGAATATGCGGACGCTGCGAGCCGAGCCGTTGGTGGCTTAGAAGGCCTTCTACGCTGGCGCCAACCAAAGTATGTCCCCATAATACCCAGACATTATATGTTGTGTGGAATCGGCGAGAAAATCCCTCGGCCGTTGAAGCGGTTCTTGTGTTGTTCTTTCTCAAGCGGCGGTTGGGTCAAGACATCGCCATACCGCAGTATACTTGTTAGTCTTGGACTTTTGGCCCGGGGCAGGACTCAGCGAATCCTTTAGCCTTTAAAGTTGCACATCAATATTCGAGGTTCCTCCTGCTGTAGAGTCTAATTGCCGGTGATTGTAGCTGGTGGAAGCTTCGTTTCGGAGGAGTCGTTGTGCTTATTGTCATTCTACTTCTTGGCGCCAAAGGTAGACTCGGATCGCTTGCTTGGGCATGTGTCGTGCAGGGTAAGCCTCGAATCGTCGGCGGCGCATTCAATCAGTTTGCTGCGGTATGTCAGATAGGGAATTCCTAGGGAGAAAGGAAATATTCTGGCTACATACGTGCCTATTGATGCTGCCTTGGGACAGTCAGAATTCAAAGCCGAGAAGCCTCTTCTCTTCCGAGAAAGCCCAGAGACAACCACGTTCAGCTTAACTTGCCTTTGATGATGGTAATAGTCTGCAGATGCGTCCGGTATCCCACGACCAGACCAAGGGGCGGTCTCGGATGCTGAGGTTTCCGAAAGGAGATCACCGTCGCAACTTGACACAGTGACTAGAAACAAGACGTCTCTGAAAGATTGTATTCGTTCCCAGCATCACTTATGGCAGAGAGTCTTCATGTCTTGCAGTTTTGACATCATCGGGAACCCGAAAGGCGATTCGTTGTGTGTCACCTCGGCAATACTCAACACTGTTATCTATGGCAGTCATACGATCAGCTCGGTCCGATCGACATCGGGTTTTACACCGCCTTGTACGGGCAGTTGTGACTGCGAGAAGAAAGCGCACGACATTACTCAAAGCAAAACGGCACTGCAGAGCACGATAAGGCCTGGATACGGTGTTTCCTCGGATTGCTCATGAATCCATTCGTTGGATTGAGTGGACGGATACACACGTTTTCGATTGGATGGCCAAATGCAACCTCGTCTAGGATCGTCGTCGTTTCGCGTTACACTGGCAGTCCTGAGGCTATCGTGTGGGGATTGGGTCTGTCGGATTTCGGAACCGGTAGGTCATGTTTCTCCCACCGCCACGCCGGTCCAAGACTGTTCTCAAGTATCCCATGGTCATTTCTGACGGCGGTAACTTCCTTTTACTTCTGTTTCTGGAGAAGACAGTCTCAGGAAGGGCATTGGTCCCAGGCCTTTTGTCTTGTAGAACTCTATCGCCCTTGATTGAACTCTCCCAAGCGGTTCATGACAGGCTGCACCCTCCACACGATACGAACCGGAACTATGTAAATACGAAAAAAGAACCTGTTCACCTCATGGGCGGAAACCGTTGTGACAACTTTGAGGCATCGGTGTGGGGTTGATTGCGTCTGCTTGGCCGAAAATGATGCCCCCGTGCGAGCCAACAGCAACCTACCTGGGCACTAAGGTTGGAAATGTCACCTTGAACTCTGTCAGGAGTTCAATAACCGATTGCAATATTGATGTTTAGAATCTCCTAAAGGCAGAGCACCGATTCAGCGTTACCAGCTGCACGTTATCATTCGAACTAGTGACTGTCCCATAATTCAAGCCGTATGATCGACAGATCAACGATCAACCCAACATGCATGGCGACCTTACCATTCACAGCCACACGGGTTTCAATCGGCGGCGTGGCCGTTGGCTACGAATGTTTTACCCAAACGGATCTCGCCGCGACGGGGGCCAGGCAATGTCAACATCATGTATCCAAGTCAGACCACAGACTCTTGCGTCCGTCCCGAATCCCAACGCAGTGTGATAAAACCCTACGAGGCGATAGCTGTGTCGGCTGAACTACGCAAATTCTTCCGGAAGCTCATCCTGCCGATCGTTCGGAAAAGCAAACGCGAACTGCTGATCCCATGTAGGCATAAGCTCCATACATCAGTTCACGAATGACAGTCGTATTATTCGCATTAGGCCCGAGCGGAGATAGCGCAGGGAGGGATGCACGCCTTGTTGCTGACGTACGTCCTTCTCCCGCGTCTCCCACGGAATCCTGACGGGCGATTGCATCCCAACTTGTGAAACAAGTTTGTGGATGGTGGTCTTTGGTTTTTCTGATGCAGTTTTGAGAGCTTTTCCTGTTTCCTCTCCCCCTCCAGCGGCCCATGCACCTACAGCCCGCAGCACACCACCACCAAGCGCCACATCCAATCCACATCCTCCACTCCATGACATATGTCAAATGGGAACAATGACAGATCATCGAACACGTTTGATCCCAGGCTGAGGCGAAAAGAACAATAACAATGATGCGCGCGGGCGCGGGTACGCGGAGCGGAATGCACAGCCCGGAAAGTTTCGAGAGTCAGTCTCGTTGCCTGTCAAAATAACCACGCCGTACGCGTACAGCTGTAACAGCTTGTCTTGCTTCACCCTTTTTTGTTTTTCTCGTATCCGTCTTTTTTTCGCGGAAAATCTCCTAAACAAAAATTTTCTCTTCGTCGTGTCATTACACGCCAAACCCATCTGGCTAATCCTCTTGTACTGATCTAATCTCCCTAATCTCATCCTTTCACATGCCATCTTTTCTTTCCTTCATCCTCCCTAATCGCATCCGTTCGACTTTCCCGCACCGATTGATTCTTTGACTTGTTGCGCTCGACGCTTGAACATCGCATTTCTTTCAACATGCCTTCGCTTTCGGCTCAAGTTATGCTTGAGCCCCCTAAGAAGGCTCGGAAACCGGCCAGTCTGGCGATTGCGGAATATGACAGGGCTGGGAACCTGAAAGCCAAGTTTATCGAGTCGGCTCCGCGCGCCGGACCTGCTCGAGTCGATATCCTGGTAAGCTTAGAAAGAAAAACAAAAAAGTTTCCATCACCACACCCCTGATCCTTACCTCACCAACAGAGTTGCGCGATGCATGTGATTAACTGTTCTTCCGTGCAGCTTCCTACAATACGAAAGAAGCATTGGAGAAAGGTGCTTGACATCTTCCTGCCGGATGGCTATCCTCACAGCGTGACGGATGACTATGCCGCCTACCAGATTTACGTATGTTGATTCTCCTTCCGGTTTTAGATGGCAGCTGCTCACCAGCATTTAGGACTCGTTCCAGGCGTTCGCCGGGACGATAGCCGGCATGATATCTTCACGTGCCGTATGGGAAGGTAAGCAGCTGTGAACGTCATCGACGGCTAAACCTGCCCCTTGATCTTTGGATGAAGACCAGTCCAAGTGATCCACTTGCTAGTAAGATAGACGCTAACCCATCGGACAGGTATGGGAGTTGGTGACTCCATGGCTTCGCCTATTGGCGCTATGATGATACAGGTGATTCGCGAGTCGATGGGTAGACTCGGAACCATTGCCTTCGCTCACTTGATGGGGACATCAATAGAGGCCGAGTGCAAGGCCTATCGCATGGCTTCCGATGTGCTGTGCAGCATTGCCTTCATCTTGGATTGTCTCTCGCCGCTGTTCCCGAGAAGCATCAGATTTCTAATTCTGTGCTGCTCAAGCATCTTGTTTGCGGCGAGTGGTGTTGCTGGAAATGCATCAAAGAGCAGTCTGAGCGGCCACTTTGCGAAGTGGAATAATCTTGGGGAACTCAACGCCGTAAGCGGAATGCTTCCGAAGTTTTCGTCGATGACTAACATCATACAGAAAGACGCAAGTCAAGAAACGGCAATTTCACTGATGGGCATGCTCGTGAGTTGCAGACATTCAGAATAGCACCGGAATTTGCTAACTTCATTGCAGACCGGCACTCTGGTGGTTTCTTGCCTAACAACACCAACCACTACCTGGACAACACTCTTCATCCTGATCGCCATCTACTTATTCCTCAATTGGAAGGGTGTCAGAGCCGTCAAATCCCGCTCGTTGAACCGACAAAGGGCGAACATTGCATTTTCTGCACTGCTATCCAAAGATCAGGTTCTTACGCCCGGAAAGATTTCCGAAAAGGAGCTGATTTTCGAGAGACGCGGTGGCGAGGTTTTCCGATGGAACGCGGACACAATCCTGGGACATTGCAAATTCGGGGTGCCACTCGAATCTATGCTCCAGGCTTTGGCGAACGGCCAACAGAACATGAGGTCTTTTCAACTTCCGACGGTGGATCTATCCAACCTCATGGAGCTTTTCGAGAATCAGCAGTACATCATGTGGTGCCAAATATCCGAGGCGGCAAATTACGAGGGGGCCTCTAGGATCAAGGTGTTGGTCGTGTTGAAGAATGGCGTTTCCGCCAAGTCGCAACTGAAAGCTTGGTTCCACGGTCTTTTGCTCGCGGAGCGGCTGCACGGTCTGAAGACACCCGAGCTGAGGCGAGCTCAGCTGGGTCAGCACATCATGCTGGGACACATTCAGGCGACAATGGCCCTAGCCGACGAGAAATACGAAGGATACGCGAGGAGACTGTCGGCTGCCGGCTGGAATCTGGAGGTTGCCGTGCTGGAAACCCGATCGGGATCTCGGATAATGCGAGAAGTTGATGATGAGGACACCCATTGAGTTTATGCAACGTTCCGAAAAGGGACAATCTAGATAGATACCTTACAGACAATGTTAGTCTTTCTTGGTCTGAAGATGACAAAAAAAGCACCGTGACGTCTAGCTTTGAGCTTGATTCAATCTCAAGTCATGTCAAACCGTTCTAGCGTGTGGTCGGTTTCTTGTCAAAACCAACCCATCAGGCCAGCAATGCTATGTTGCGCGATCGTTCGCCGATGCATCTGAAGATTCAAAGGCCGTTCGAGTCAATAAGCTTGATTCAATCAGCAGACCAAACCGTGATTGTGCCGGCTGCCGCATAAGAGTAAAGGTTGCGATGCGTTCGAAGGATCTCCCACATGGTCCACCCAGACTCTCTGCGCGAACGCCACGTGGGGTAGAGGAGGTGTGCTGTGGGAGTATCAAACACTGACAAACTGGCGCGCAACCCACACCGATCAACGCGGCCCGGGCAACTGCCGCCAATGTTGACATGCTTTTTTGTGATGTGGCATTATTTCAAATTGCCTGAACATGATGTGGTCATCTACTTGACGCCTGAATGAAGCATTTGCGCGCCGTGCACTGCTCTGGAGTAGAGGCTGTGCTCTCTTCGCTTTCGCGTTGTCTCTGTTGTTCTTTTTCCGCTGGGCAGAATCGCTGATCGCTGATAAGGAGAAGCTTTGGACACAATTTCGCTATCGGTAATTTGATCTTCGCCCCGTCCCGTGCTGCAATGTTCTAGAGTCCCGACACTCCGGCCTTAACTCCATGAACACCCAAGTTTCCCCCTTAAACATAGCCATTCGAACTAGAGCTTGGCGCCAATGCGCGCCATTGCGGTGCCCGTGCTGCTCTCCGTCAACATGCCACCCGGTGACCCGACTCGTTCCGGGTGTCAGTTTGCCTTGGGGTCCCGGAGCTTGAATAAAGAAAAAAATAAGGGGACCTGGGGGAGCCCCGCTCGTATTGAATTGCGGGACCGAAGTCTCCAAATGCGAACCCGAGGGGGGAAGACGCAGAGGCCATGACGACTCGCACCAGACGCACACGCATTAGACTTCTGGAACGGCTGATGTATGAGACACGTGATGGCGCTGACAACGTCCCAATGCCTTCTTGGACCCCTTCTGGGCAGTGCTCAGCTGTGATTGGCCCCTGTCTCAATCTCGGGTTCGAGTGCGCTTGTTGAGACGGTGCTGTGCATACCTTATTGTGTGGGAGCGCAAGCCACCGTGGCGGCGCCGTACTCGTAAACGCGATCCATGAAATTGCCTATCTGGTCCATGCCTCATGAATCTTGCGCTTGGATATATAGAGGGCCGAGTCCGTCCGCCAACACTCATCATGAGATGTCATGCAAACCACTAGACCTCTGATTTCTTTAGCCTTCTTCTTTTCCGCGCCACGATGACGAAACAAGTTGATCTTCCCGTTCGTCCGACAGTCATCCAGAGGACCAAGTCACAGCTTCGTCGTCGCGGTGATCGCACACAAAACCCGGTGCAACTCCAGGCATTTGAATGGAACCTCCCCGCCGATCATTCGCATTGGAAGCGTTTGAGATTAGCACTCCCAAGTCTAAGGGCTGTTGGTGTCAACAGTCTGTGGCTTCCTCCAGGAAGCAAGGCCAAGGATCCGGAGAGCAATGGCTACGACATCTACGATGCGTGGGACCTGGGAGAGTTTGACCAGAAGGGCTCAGTACCCACGAAATGGGGCACGAAGGAGGACCTGATGGCGCTGGCTGCCGAAAGCAACAAGAACGGCATCGGACTCGTGTGGGACGCGATTCACAACCATCGCGCTTATGCGGATGAGACTGAGATGGTCAAGGTCGTCGAAGTTGACCCCAGAGGTAAGGCGCACGCGCGACTCATGTACACCAGGATGCCATGCTAAACTTTGTTTCTAGATAGACGGATAGACATCACAGACACGTATGAGATTGAGGCATGGACGAAATTCAACTACAAGGCCAGAGGTGGCAAGTACAGCACATTCACGTACAACAAGACGCATTTCAACGGCACCGACTGGAACCAGCAGAACAGCAAGAGATCAATCTACCGGTATGTGGAGGATGGAAAGAACTGGCACCAAGACGTCGGCACCAGCCAGGGCAACGCGGATTACCTCATGTTAGAGAACCTCGACTACACCAACCCCGAAGTCGTCAAGGAGTCAACAGAGTGGAGCCGATGGATCGTGGATGAGCTCGGTCTGAGAGGCTTCCGTGTGGATGCGGTGCAACACATCTCATGGAACTTCATCAACGAGTGGACGAGGTACCTGAAGAAGACCAGTCGGCAAGACCTGATGTTTGTCGGCGAATTCTGGCACGGCGACGTTCGGGTGTTGACGAACTGGATGGACAACATGCATTCGTTCTTCAGCCTGTATGACGTCCCGCTGATGTACCACATCGCGAGACTGTCGTGGCATGAGGACCACGACTTGAGGGAGGTCTTCAAGAATACTTTGGTTGAGCAACGCCCCAATAACGCAGTGGTATGTATCTCATCCGGGAGTGTCAGCCGATTACACCCAGCTAACGTACCTCCAGACTTTTATTCGCAATCATGATACCCAGCGTGGCCAAGCTATGGACACGCCTATTTCAGCAGCATTCATGCCCCTCGCCTATTCTCTTATTCTCCTGCGACGAGACGGACACCCCTGCGTCTTCTTTGGCGACCTCTACGGCACCGGCCTCCCCCACCTTGAGCCTTCTGTACCAGACCTCCCGAATCTGCTCTTGGCCAGGAAGCTCTACGCCTATGGCAAGCAGAAAGACTACTTTGACAAGCACGATTGCATCGGCTGGGTGAGGCAGGGAACTGAGGAGAGGCCCGATGGTCTTGCCGTTGTGATGAGCTGGACCCAGTCTCCCGAGGCCGAGTCCCAGATTTGCATGCAGGTTGGACGCGAGCATGCCGGAGAAGTGTGGACAGACGTCATGGGCCTGGAGACAGCCAATGTCATGATTGATGAGAACGGCTTGGGATTGTTCCCCTGCCAACGGAACAGCATGGCATGCTTCGTCAATAAGGACGCTAAGGGGAGGAAGAGGTTTCCTGTTCGTTTCGACACTGACTTCAACGGCCTTCTCAACTAGAATGACAGCGTTGCGGTGTATTTGTCGTTCTTTCTACTTGTGGTCACTGCGAGTGGGCTCAAATTCAATTTTATAGATAGGGATTGGCGTCTGGTTGAGATTCTATAGCGTGGCATACCATAGCGAAAACTCAAGAAATCTTTACTCTTTGATTACACGGTCAGCGGGCAGCCGAGACACACTCTGGAGAGCCTCATGTGGGATTATCAAGTAGGGTGATAAGCATAACTTCGGGTGAAATCAATTAAATTAATAACAAGATTGGTGCGTGTAACCAAGTCGTAGACCCTGTTTTCCTCCACCGACTCACTGATAGTAACTGCCCATAGCCCACATAGAATGATCGTCTATGTGCTTGAACTTTTCCCACTGGAACATCATCTCGCTCTTCGCGCTTTGAACTTCGTCCTGATCAGTGATGATTCCGACATTGAGGAATAAGTCCATCTGCTCAGCAACCCATTTCTTGCACCCTTGTCCCTTGTTGTCGAAGTCATACTTTTCCCTCCCATATTCAACAATTGTGTCGACAAAGTTGCTGACCTTCAGCGGCTGTCGAGTAGTAAGCCGGCAAATGCATTGGGCCCGGCTGAATTGTCGATCTTCCAAAAGGCTGATGACGATGTTTGCTTTGGAGCCATCGCCTCCACCGCCGGCCGGGGTTCCGCTGGGCGTGCAGTCGAGTTGTATCAGACGCCAGGCATCAGGGTCGAGATGATTCGGTGTAACGGTCAAGTAGAATGTCCAGTGATTGCCGCCGTTAGCGAGAGGCTCGTGGGCGACCGCGCTTGCCTCCAAGACAGAGAGGGAGAAGATGTGTTCTCGATCCTTCTTCGGAATACACTGCACTGCCTCGAATTTTGGTGGTTGAAAAGCCCAAAGCTGCTGGGTTGAAGCAGGGTCAGAGGTTACTGAAGGCATCGCAGAGGAATCATTAGTCGAACTTGGCTCGACACTGGCGCTCTGGGTCATCGAAGTCATTCTGTGCAGCTAGAACCTTGCTTATTGTACACAGACTTCGAAGAGCAAGCTTTCAGATCGTGAGGACTCGTTGATACTGAGAGGCTGGTTTTGCATGAAGGAGGGTAGAACGGCCACAAAGCTCGTTAACAGGCAGCAGTTAAGAATATGAAGGGGTACTGGCTCGCCGCACCACTTACTTAAGTAACCGCTCGTTGAGATGCAACGACATCCGGACAGGTTTAAGTGGGTATGGCTAGGCAGCAGGCTGGGAAATCTTTCCTTTGACCATGAGAACCGGCCAACACGACGTGACATCGGCTATGTTGCCGCGCGCTACCAAGACCAACCAAAGACCTAACCAACACAACCCCATCAAAATTCAATATTTACCCAATCGCAGCAAAAGATCATGCAAACCACATCGGATCTCTATTTCTCACCAAGTTTTATATGATCCCCGCTGGTCGTAACCCCATCTGCTTTTGACCGAAGTCCACATGTGCAATTTCGTCGCTGCCACCCCGAACCAAGCTCGTCCGATGGCGTCGGACGCCAGACCAGGAGAATTTCCGACCGACTCTGATAAGTCAACTCAACTGGAAGACATATCATATCCACTGGACGACGTGGAGTTTGACTCGGTCACTGACGAGCAACTTGGTCGTCTTTTCCAAACGGCACCCATCTTATACCAAGCTGGCAGTAACAAGATTGTGCGAATCTCTCAGAGTCTCGTTTTGAAAGGCGATGGCACAGTCTCCAAAGTCGAGGGTGAAACTCAGCGCTTCGCTGCAGTCCATGGATTCCCAGTTCCCAAGGTCCATCGGATCTTCTCCTTGTTCGGGCTTTACCCCGACTGGCCAGAGGAACAAAGCTGGTTCTTAGTCATGGATTTTGTGCCGGGAGTTTCTCTTGAGAAGGCATGGCCAGACCTCGACACCGACACTCGCAACACCGTGGCAGTCAAGGTCGCCGAGATTATCGATCGGATGCAGTCTCTCAAAATGAGCGACATGCCCCCTGGCCCTGTTGACTACGAAGGCGATGAGCCCTGGCGAGGTCCCTATTTCACCGCATATGGTATCGGGCCTTTTCCGACCCTTCAAGATATGGAAGACTGGTACAACCATAAACTGGACGTTTGCATACGACTCAAGAGGACAAGCAATGAGACCAAAAGATTCTCCTTCACGGATGTTGTCCTGACTCATCAATACATTGCACCTCGAAATCTTATCCTACAAGAAGGGAATCAGAACCTATGCCTCGTCGACTTTGGATTCGGAGGCATATATCCGACAGGGTTCGAACAAGCAGCTTTGGCGAGGCAGGCAGTTGGGCAATGGGATGTGGAATTCGGGGAAATGGTCTTGGAGAGGCTATCAAATCGAGGAGAAAAGGAACTGAAACAGCTGAGGGCTATTATGTACGGACTGACGACGGGTGTATTGTTGTAGCTTTCAATTGTGCGCAATGTTGTGATTCCGGATGCGAGGTTGCGTTTTCAAGGACGAAATGTATAACGTGATTGCGCCCAGCACTACCAAAGATCTCAGCGCTTCTAATAGAAAGAAACCACTGAGTCGTTTAAGCGTACGTCAGTTTCATCAGTTCTGCACGCTTTCGGTACAAGTCCATTATAGTTTTGCGATACTTGGACATAATTAGTAACGTAGGGGCAGCTCGAGATCGCGTTCGACTTGTTGCTGATGAGAGTCGCCTTTTGATCTGTCGTCTTCAACCCTCCTCTTGATTGCGTATGTCTAGGGCACACCCCGATAGCCATGTGATCAGAAGGCCTGCCCGAGTAGAAGAATCTGTGCCCTGAGTCTCATCAGACTGGGGGGAAGAATAACGTTATACGCATAACGTGACCGAATTGCGTAGGGCTGGTACTGCTTACTGATCATACTCAGTGCTGTTCAAAACACCTTAGAATGCCTTACCCAATGACCCAGAAAATACAATGTCGTCAGCCCAGATTATGCGGGCTGACCCTGAGACCCTTCTCTTATATGCCTCCGCTTACGACATTGATGTTGTTTAATAAGCAACATAAGCAACATGTTTTTGTCTTGCAGTACCTGTTTTCTCTAAGAAGATAAGAAATGCTACTGTTTGGGCAGTCGTGAAGTCTTGACTTGCCGTGGGTCACAGCTGAGACATAGAATTAAACTTATATCATAAGACTGAGTTACTTAGTTACGGCTGACTTTCTGGAATTTGACTTTTGGAAGCAGTCTTGCCACCATCCTCCTCGTTGCCAACGTCAGCTTGACAGCCGGTCGCAACCCAGTCGCTAACTGCCAAGACTCCTCGACCCCTGTTGTCTGACCCCTGCCAGTCTTCTCGCATAGCCCCAATTCTCACCCGCTCTCCATTATCAGAGGCCAATAAAGCCACGGAGACCCACAGCAGGACCTGGAGACTAGAAAAGGGGGCATTTTTGACCCCTTCACTGAGCACCATCCTGCTGTTATCGAAACAATGCCCCGGAAAGGAAGCCGCAAAGTGAGAACGGGCTGCTTAACTTGCAAGTGAGTAACATCACTCCATTGCCTCAAATCGCGTGTCATCCAGTGAATTTGCACCTAACACGGCTACGTTCAGGGCTCGGAAGATAAAATGCGACGAGACAAAGCCGGTCTGCGTGAAATGTTCCGCGACCGGTCGGAAATGTGACGGCTACAAGGCGCTGACCCCGGCACGCCCGGCCAGACCGCGGCTTTGCCTGGCGAAATCCCCGGACGAGTTTCCGGGTTCTCTAAACGGAGCGGACTACAGGGCCATGCAGTTCTTCTCTGAGATGGTAGGCCCAAACCTGCCCGGCGCTACCGACCCGTATTTCTGGACGGACCTCGTCATGCAGTTCACCAGGTTCGAGCCGGCGGTAAAGCACTCCGTGCTTGCCATTAGCGCATTATATGAAGATGTCACCATGACGAGTGCGGATGCGAATAGGAGCTCCCAGACTCGATGTCTGCGTGATAACAACCTCGCATTAGCTCATTATAATATTGCGATAAAGCATCTGCTGGTCATGGAGAACAAGGGGCTGGTGGTACTCGTCTGCCTCTTGTTCATCTGTATCGAGATCTTACAGTCGAACCGCGAAGCTGCTCTTCAACATAGCACGCACGGGACGATCATTCTGGGGACCTCCGATGCTCTCTCCTATCGCTGGGTCAAGCAGTGGGTGCTGCCACTGTTCCGCCGCCTCAACACCCTAAATTTCTGGTTCGGGGAAGGACCTGATTTACCAGATCTCAAGGTCTTCAAATGTTTGACCCCTGCGCAGTTTTCTGATTATGATGAGGCGGGAGACATGGTCGATGATATCTTCAACCAGGCATTCCAGATTCTGTGCCAAGGCTACATCTACCGAGGCGGGTCTATGAGAGGCCAAGACCCGTCTCCGGAGTTACTGAGCCAGCAACAAAGAATCGTACAGTTACTGAACGAATGGCATGCACTATTGGAGAACCTTGAGACCAGATTAATGTCGACAACCAAACAGTCTACTATAACAAAAACCAAGAAGGGGTTTCTTCGAACATTCTCCTTAGTTCGGTACCATATCTGTCGAATCTGGTCCAACATAGCCTTTGCCTCGTCAGAAATGGTATTCGACGAGCACTTCGACGACTACCAGACCACAGTGGAAGAAATGCTAAAGACAGTCGAAAACCGACCTCCAGGCCGCCAAAGCAAATTTGAGTTCGAAATGGGCTTCATCGCGCCAGTCCTGTTTCTCGTCATGAAGTGTCGATATCTCAGTCTTCGATTGAAGGCACTTCGGTGCCTGGCCGTTCTCCCGGCGCCAAGAGAAGCACTCTGGGAGAGGGACGGCATGTATGCGGTGGCACGGCGTATGGTGGAGATAGAACACGGCGTGGTTCTGGATAAATATGGACAGATACCGCCTGGAGTCGAGCCTTTGCGTCCGGGGTTGCCTGCCAAGACCATGCGAGTGGAGCAATTTGTCACCGAGACGCTGGATATGACCGGCAGGGACGTCTTCGGCCGCGAGGTCCGGGGGACGAAGGTGATTTTCTTCATGCGTGCGGCAGACGACTCTGTCCGTCTTGTACCAGACGTGCTTCCTGGTGCTGGCGTCGAACTCCCTGAGTGGTCTGTAAAATGGGCATATGATAGTGTATCCTCGGATACAAGTAGCGGACGAGAAGCGCAAGATATTGTCGATGACTCAGATGTGATGGCCCTAACTCAGGCATATCAAAGGCTTATGGATAGTCGAAAGGAATAATTACTACGTTATCTCCTAGGTTCATCCCCATCAAGGGACAATGCAATGTTCAGTGACATAAACAGTCTTTACTGTGCGATGCTGGTATGAATGAAGTCAAATATTGCGGCAAAGGCGGCTTTGCCGTCTTATACCGGTCTCGGCCCCGGAAGGCGTCATTTTCGTAGTGCAACCGGGTACTCCGGCGGAGGTTGTGGGTTTGGAAACTAAGACTGAGTGCCTGCCTTCTGGGCCAACATACCTCTGAGGTTAATTCACGACACTCAAGACAAAAGGTCCACGATGGGTCTGAACAGGGGACTCTGGAGGATCATCCGGCAATCCGGGGTACAGAGTGACGCAGCCCTACTGGGCTAAATGGTCTACGCGTACTCTGAGCTCTTTGTCTACTTCGTTACTGTGGATCACCGCCTCCCGGTTTTGAAGATCTCCCGAGAGTGGTGTACCGTAGGCTCCGAGACAATTCTGTGAGCTTAGTCTGACCCACCCATCGCGATTGCGGGCACCGAGGTGTTGCATAGGCCGTATCGCAAATGACGGTCAATTATGAACGCGTGTTAGGCGGCTAGAGGCGAGATGAGATAACAAGTCGCCGAGCCGGACGATGTCCGCCACGCGCTGCCCCTGGCTCTAACGAGCTCCGTCGTCCTGCAACATTTTAGCCACCCACGACGTCGGATCTTGCAAGTCAGAAAAGTTGGGCAAATTCAAACCTGCCATCCGGACGTGGCGCGCCACAGGAAAATGGTGTAAGGGACGTCGGGTCCGACTTACCCAATCCGACAAGTTCTGGATTCCGAGCAAAGACCATGTCTAAATCTGAATCGCCTTGTCTGACTCCGGCGAGGAGCTAGCTTTGTTGGTCCAGCACTTCGTCTGATAGTCACACTCGGCTGCCCGACGGAATCCGTGTCACTTTCCAATTATTCCCCCATTCATTGGACGTCGGCCGACATCCCATCGCGTGGGATGGCCCAGCCAATATCCCCGGCTGCGCTAATGCATTAAATTTGCCCATATTTGTGATTGGAGGCGCCTCCTCGGCCTCCACTCCCCCCGCACTCCACGTGGACTCTGAATCGCACGGTTGACGTCAAAACGAGCCTGTGCCTTCGGGCCCAGGGGCGCATGGGGCGGAAAGATGGGCTAAAAGAGCGCGGAAACATATGGGGTTAAAAGGCAAGTATCCTTGTCTGCTCGCTGGAGCATCGGAAGTGTCGTGGGAGAATAAAACAGAAGGTCATGCCACCTCGATCGAGGGCAGACTAAGTCCAGCATCTTGAAATGTGTTGAATGCAATTTTGACTCTCTGAAGAATCAGTTTTCACGATGATTTATCTACCTGTTATTGCTGCAGTCGTCTCCTATCTTCTTCTGGTACGGTTCCTCAGATACCGGCGCCGAGATGACCTCCAGAAAAGATTCCCGTACAAGACGAGGGAGGAAATGGCGTCCATGTCGCTCTCGGATGCTGCCGCAATAATACGCGAGCTCTCAGAGCAGGAGTTCCCCACAATCTTTTACACATCAGTATCTTTTGCACTATTCAAGGTTTGCTTTTCTCCTACTATTTATGATCGTCCCAAAGACTAAATTCCCATCAGACGTATGGAATTCCAACTATTTCCAAGCTTCTTGTCGCTACGAGTCAGCTGTCTGGCGACGCCACAGCCTCAAAGCGGCGCACCGACACAGGCGTCTTGATGACAGAAATCATGATGAACAAGCCCGAGTGTCCTCGTAGCATCGAAGCTATCGCTCGCGTCAACTTCCTCCACGACCGCTGGCGTAAAGCTGGGAAGATCTCCAACGACGATTTGCTCTATACGCTGAGCCTTTTCGCCCTCGAGCCAGTGCGCTGGACCGCCAGGTACGAGTGGCGAGATCTGACCATGCTCGAGAAGAACGCCATGGCAATGTTTTGGAGAGACTTGGGCAAGGAGATGGAGATTTCGTACGATTGTTTGATCTCGCACATGGCCGAGAAAAACGACGCCATCGCGTGGCTGGATGCTCTGCAAGTCTGGAGCATCAACTACCAGGAGAAGTACATGGTCTACGCCGTTCCGAACGAAAAGCTTGCACATGCAAACGTGCATCTACTACTCCTCGATCTTCCGAAGTGGTCGCACAGCTTCGTGTTTGCGCAACTGCGGTGCTTGATGGAGACTCAGCTGAGACATGCAATGGGGTAAGTAGTGGTGAACTGGTCTTGGATGCAACTCTTGGTTACTGACCTTCGTTCTAGTTACGAGGACCCTAGCGACTTTCAATTTTCCGTCTTCAACGCTATCATGAACACGCGCCGCTGGGTTCTGAGGAATCTTTGTCTTCCGAGGCCCAAGTGGTGGACCAACCCAATGCTCAAGGACATCGACAAGAAGACTTGCCGATACTACTTGCCGACTTATCTGGCCCATCCATACTACGTCAAGCCTACCTTCTACTCACGATGGGGGCCTGCCGCTATTTACAGCCGTCTCATCGGTGGCCGCCTTCCTGGAGATGAGGGTACCAAATACCATCCTGACGGTTACCTGATTCCCGAAGTAGGACCTGATTCCCAAAGGGGCAAGGGGAAGGAATACATGGATATGACCAAAGAACGAATCTCACAGGCTAGAGGCTGTCCGATGGCCTTTGGAGTGTAAGTCACGGCGACTTATGCCCACAGCATAGAGTACTTTCGAGCTTCGGGTAGCAGATATGTTTGCATTTGGCCGCGGAAATCCCCCACCAAAAGAGATTGCCATGTAACATAAGCGAATGACAGAGCGTGCAAGAGGAAATTCCCACTATGAATTTAAAACCCTTTAACTAGCTACCTCGTATGCGTTGGGCATGAAACCTTTGCTGCGTGAAAAGCATAGATCTCATGTAAGTCTCGCTGACGACTTCGAGGGCACAATACGATCTTCACATTTGGCATTTACGCTTATCGCTAAAACCGCTCCTAAAACTAGATAGGTGGGTAAATTCCGTCGGGGATAGTTCGCACATGTGTCTGTCAGTGAGTTTGAGAGTTAGTCGCTCCTGGGCCGAGGGCTAAATTTCCCCGCGAGATGGCTAGTCATCTGATGCGACTCAGCCAACCAAAACGCCAAGACAGTCCTCTCGGTTTCCTAATTCAATAACCAAACTATATTTACCCTTTTTTCAGACGCGATCGTAGATCGAGGCCCGTCAAGCTGGGCGGAACAACAACCTTAAAAATGATCGGTCTCCCGAAGGCATCGGCCTTTACCCCGGGTTCGGGGTTACGACACCGACTGTCCGGCAGGCTGCAAACATCCGAATAGTATAACCATGCTTTTACCACAGCACGTTTAGCCCATACAAATTCTTCTCAACCCCAAGGCTAATTTTCGATAAGCAATGATGCACTATCTGGCTCGCGTCTGTGTGCTCCGTCGAAAATCTGTCTTGCATCTGAGCTATGAATTTTGCACCATCACCCTTCCGCCTCGAGATGACTAGCAAGAGGCCTGAAAGGTTGGTTGATTTATGTAAGCCCTAATCCCAGCACAAATTGGCATGACTATTCATGACGCTGATGCCACATGCGAGGACATGAAGGCGACAACAGCGTGCCCAAGCCAGCCATTACTTCATGCTGTATCTACACTGATTGAAGGCAATTATCAATATGCATATCTCTTCACACAGTTCGGACAATAGACGATCAACGTAATTCGTTTCCTCATGTTCCACAAACTACAAAACACTCAAAATTCGCTAAACCCATGTAATACCCTGCAATTCGCACCACCAATCGCCCTCGTTCTCGTAGTAATCAAACTCAGACTTCCCATAAAGGTCCTTTTCTGCGTTGTCCACGGTGCAAACATTCAAGTTGAAGTTGCACGGCTGCATTGCATCAAACAGAACGCCGTTCGGTGACACCTCTTCCCAAGGGTTGGTCAGCTGCTCGTAGTCGTGCGTGTCGAAGCAGGTGGTGGGCCCAAGGAAGATGTCCTCCTTAGTCAGGCCGTACACGTCTTGCAGCTTGGAAGCGAGGCGATGTTCTGGCACGAAGTCGTCACTGCCCATCTTCTGCAGGCGGTATTTGGTCCACAGGCCGTTGGGCTGCTGCTGGCAGTAGAAGGCGCTCCTGTAGTCCTTGTAGTAGTCGTTGGGATCGCATTCCGTCATGTTGTAGACCCGGAAGATGAAGACGTTCTGGGCCTGCAGGATCAGACCCATGGCGTTGATGCTGACGGTCTTGTACATCCAGTTCTCGACGTCGTCTTGTGTGAAGTTCTTGTTGCGGACGAGGTAGTTGCCGCCGTGGAGGACCGTGTTGATGCCCCACTTGGTGTCGTTGATGGGTGCGTCAATGATGTTTTGCGCGTACTGGCCGATGGCTTTCTTGTACTCGTCCAACTTCTGGCCCATCTGGTCTCCAATGGCGGTCCACCTGACGAATTCCTTGTCCGCGCTCGGCGCCAGCAACATACCGCTGACGATGATGTTGTTTCCCTGTACTGCTGAGGCGATACCACCTTGAACAGCTCCGAACACCGCAGTGGTTGGGAAAGCGTTGAGGATACCGTTCATCCACGCAATGGCCATCTTCCATCCCGTGACGTTGTCCTTTGGCTTCGGCCACAATTCGGTAACCATTTTGGAGAGCCTCATGCCCAAGATAGCTGCTGTGTATGTCACAGCGAGGTTGAGGTTGTTGACATAGTTGTTCCACCCCTGGATGCCCATGAGCGCGTACCTAGGTATTGTTAGCGGAAGTCGAAGACAATGAGGCTCAACAACATGTGACGTACCAGCCAGGAAGTTGGACAGGGGAGCATGGCTGTCCAGCATTGCACCATTCGTTAACGCCGCAAAAGAAGTTGGGCGCGCCGAGGTAGGCTCCCAATGCTTGAATGTTGTTGCTGGGGTACTGGATGTAATGTTGCGAGGCGTTCGCCAAAAAGCCGTCGACATCTTCCTCTATCCATGTTTGGTTGGAAAGTGCCTTTGTTTCGCAAGTTGTTTGCCGGGTATCTAAGATCGTAGGTCTGGGGAGGCTGATGTCGTTGTTGCTGACCGGGACTGGTGTGGCAACGGTCTGTGACATTAACAACGCGACACAAGTCGCGATTATATGTTGGTAACGCATGATGAGCAGCGAAACAAAACAAAAGAGGCGCTAGGACAACGATCAAAACCAAACCGCAACTGGGTATATGGAACTGTGAACGACCGACTGCAGATGAACGCTGAGTTTGAGAGAATCATCAAGGTTTCCCTCGACGATGATATATTTCTCTGGGTTGCCTGGCACACACCCGGCTTATGGCGGCAAATACAGCGGCTATCGTGACCACCATCCGAGGTGCGGTCTAGCCAGATAAGGGGGGATTGCGCAATCGGCAAGGCCCATTCAACCATATCTCTAATGACTCTGGGAACATATTAAGAGTAATTGGTAAGGGACGGATGTGTGGAGAGATATCCCACGCCGAACCGGATGTCCGCTCTCGCGTGATAGCTTGCCAATGGACCACTTTGGCCAATGGGAGAGCGCTTGTTTGCGGAAAACCATTGAGATAGGGGAGTTGGCATTTGTCCCAAACGGAGTTATCAGCTTGGCAGGTGAAGGATCTGAGTCGTAAGAATGAAGCTTATCTCAGATGAGTGTCAGCCCTAATGTTGCGAAGTCAGGTCCTTCGCTGTTGCCGATGAGACCTAAGCAGAGAGAATAGGTGATCTCAATATTTTCGCTATATTGATTTAGGGCGTGATAAGGTCGCTTCGCGGCAGAGGCCGCATGATTTGCCGGGGTACCCTAATTATAGAAAGCTATGGGTATGCGGCGATGAAAGCCGCAACTCCAGTCGTTGGTTGAGCAGCGAATGAGGGCTCAGCTAACATCCCCAAACAGGCAAAAGGTTCCCAGAAGGAATGGACACGGGAAGGATTTGACGTTGACGGAATCTGAAGCTCGAGCACGCGATTGCAGCGTTACGTTGAGGTCGTTTGTGGTGCAGAGGAATTATAGTAATTGAGTCAGTGTGTTGAAGTATAAAATATGAGGGCTCTGGGTCTTTCCCAGCGAAAGTTTCCCAGCCTGGAACGGATCGTCCGTGACATCTCCACGTCTTTCGGCAACACCGATCTTACGCCATCCTCGCGGGTTATCTCGTGTCAACCCGCGGAGAGTGGTTTATCAACACATTGGTGTAAATGATCATGCATCGTGACTCTGGAATTATTGATAACAACGGGCGGAGGACCTCAATAGTTGTTCGCAAAAAAGTCTCTCATTCCCAGCTTCAACCACACTCATTTGGCGTTCGTAATATCGACCATGTTTGTTAGACTCTTTGTTCTGTTTTGTGCGCTCGCACTTGGCACACTCGCCGATAGACATCACTTTTGCTGGTGCAACAGCGAGCAAGTGCCGGACCACGACCTCTGCTTAACGCAAGCCGCTTGCAACTATTATCCGCAAGACAAGTTCTTCGGCGTGCACTACGGCGACCCGAATGCGCCAACAATTTCCAAGATGAACTTCAAGAAGCAAGAGTGCTATGGCACGCGCGCGTGGCCCATCATCCCGCACCCTTTCCTCGGAGGCAACGAATTTGAAGATGCGTGTTACGCTGCCGCGGCGGATCCCGCCGTCGTCAATGCGTGCGGCATCTCACCGGGAACACGAACCAAAATTAAGTCTCGGTGTTCTCATGGATTTGACTAAGCTCTAATGTAAAAGGCAAGCCACTTCCGCCACGACCTGAGTGTGGCCCATACTTGCGGAGTGTTCCGTGACTGACATTTACTACTCAGATACCCCCACATCACCAAAATGGCCAGGAAGCGGCTGGACGCGGTTTCTCACTCAGGTATACGCCAGTCTTTGCGAGGCTTGCTGCATCCCAATCATGGGTTCTTAGGGAGGACAACAGCACTAGAAAGGAGGATGCAATGGTGTTCCAACATCGGGCTTGTAACTGATTTAGTGATTCGTAGCTTGCGTCTAGCAAATATTACGTGAGATGATTCGCATGTGATTCCCGGCCAACTTTTAGCCTCCAGCCTGTGCGCCTGGTAATGTCGTTTCTGTGCGCTGGTTTTCCAGTTCCTACGTGCAGGGCTGCTCATAACCGCGCCCTTTCACTAACAGAAGAGCTATTTTGACCGGACAAGCCAGAGCTTAGGATTAATGCCTGTCCACAGACCCACGCAGCGGCTTCTGCTCCTGTCTAGGTAGTGAGTGGATAAGGTAGGTAGAAAGGAAGGAATCTGAAACCGCAAAAGAAAGCTGGAGATTTTGGGCGCCGAGATTGAACTTTGCTAGGGCCCGTCAATTGCTGACGTCATCAGGACGGGAAATATGCTAAGATGCGCCCTGACGCGACGCGTCTTGATCATCAACAAATATTTCAGCACTGGCAATATGGGGAAAAAGCGCGGTCTTGATAAAATCAAAGGTGAAAGCGAGCCCTCCGAATGGAATTGGAAGGAGGCAGATAATTACATCGAACGGAATCGCGACCAGCTTGCAATCGAACAACGAAGGGACATTCGCATGTACTATGTTATCTACGCCGGGAAAACATGTGGCATATTTAAGAACTGGGCAGGCCCTGGTGGTGCTCAAGAGCAGACGGGAGGAGGAGTGCGAAGCAAAAGTATTGTCACTAAGAACATACACTCGTGTTTGATCGTTTAGCTAACGAATGCTAATCACGATAGGCATTTCAGCGTCAACCTGGGAGATAGCCGTGAGCCCAATCTTCTGCCCTTACGACTACGACTAACGAACAGCAGATGCAACTTCTTCGTGAAGGTTTCGCTAGGGAATCCATGGCGGGACATTTGCCGCGTTCGCCAACAAAACCTCAACGCACTGCTGCTGGGTCTTCTGTCAAGGCTGGAAATGGCTTCCCGAGCGAAGCCTCGTCAAGCAAGCGCCCGCGTCTGAATAATCCTTCTAAGTACCCTGAAAGTTCTCACGACGCGTTTGTCGCATCGGCAAACAACGAATTACGAGGTGAAAAGAGCTTTGATGAGGAGGATGAGGTCGCACCGCCACCGCCGCCCGAGCTACCACCCCTCTGTCCAGAACAACAACGCGCGCTAGAGCTGGCGATTAACGGAGAAAATCTGTTCATTACTGGGTATGTACATGAATGAAAGATAATCTGGTGATTAGCACATCAACTCACAGCTGATTTCGTAGATCGGGTGGTTGCGGCAAATCCCGTCTAGTAAAGGCTCTCTACGACACTCTCACAGCCTATGGAAAGACCGTTCACTTACTTGCACCCACAGGCCAAGCAGCGGTCAATATTGGAGGAAGGACGATCTTTTCATACATTGGATGGCGGCCTGACGACCTCGGCCTGGCCAACAGCACACTTGTCGCGAAGGCACGAAGGAAACACATTTTCTCCCGGATCAAGTCCACTGAGGTTCTCATTATTGATGAGATCAGCATGGTCGAGAGACAAGTGTTCGAGAGGCTCAGCTACGTTCTAAGCGTGATTCGACGAGGTCGATACGAACCATCGGCACACGGTGCCTTCGGGGGCGTTCAGATCATTACTGTTGGTGACTTCTGCCAACTGCCCCCCGTGAAACCATTCAAATATTGCTCCTTCGAGATGTTCGATGAAGAAACCAAGATCCCTTATTCATGCGGGTTAATGGAAACGTCGGACGATCTGCTGCATTATTGCCCTCGGGACAAGAGCCACGGTCAGTTCAAAGATTGCGAAAAGTGGGCTTTCAAGTCTGACGCCTGGCATCATTGCACATTCAAGTATATCCTCCTCTGATCGCTGGGATGGGTCGACATGCTAATTCTATCAACAACCAGAAACATACACTTGACCACGATACATCGGCAAAAAGACGAGGGCTTCGTACGAATGCTTCAGAACATTCGTAGAGGCCACGTTGATGATGATGAACTTGACCTTCTTTTGGAGAAGCGCAGGGTTGATGGTAATGGGACATTTTTGTTCAGCCACAAAAATGATGTCAAGAATCACAATGACGCGAAGCTCAAATCCCTCGATGGCAAAGAAGTACAATATCAGTGCCTCGATCATACACAACCCATCGGCGACAGAAAGAACAAACGCGACGATGAGGACAAATCTCGATCTCAATCGCTCGGCGATGATGACGATAGACATCGATATCACAAATGCTTGGAGATGAAAGTCAATATGCCTGTCATCTTACTTTCTAATGTGAGATCATTTACTTTGACGCTCATGGACTCTAGAATTGACGATTCTTGCAGATCGATGTGGAGAAAGGTCTTTGTAACGGCAGCCAAGGCACGGTCATTGGTTTCGTACCGCGTCTGGAGGACGACCTCAAGGATCCAAATCCCAAACATTACAAGGGCGATCAGGTTGGCTACGATTTAGCGAAAGCACGTTGCAAGCAAATCGGAGTCTTCAAAGCGAATCTGGACACGAAACTATGTAAGTATCCTGGTGTGGCAGAATGCGATATATTCATGGATGCTTACATGCTTTCCAGACCCCGAAGTTCGGTTTTCCAATGGCGAACGCCGCGTTATCGGCCCTGATTGCAGCTTTCACAATGTTGTTACTTGTTGGAAAGAGATTGATGGTGAAGTTCGGTTGGCTTTGGAGTCATTCTCGGTAAGAACTCAAATACCACTCGTCCCAGGTTGGGCTATGACCATCCATAAGAGCCAAAGTCTTTCACTTGATCGCGTAACCGTCGACCTCGAAAGTGCCTGGGATGGGAGATTGATATATGTTGCGCTCAGCAGGGCTCGTTCGCTCCAAGGTCTCTGCGTGAAAGGAAGCAGAAGTAAATTCAGGGAGAATCTCTCACTTGACCCTGAAGTGGAGAGGTTCGTGAGAGACATTGAAGAGCGAAAGCAGGACGAGATCATATGAGCTTTCGCTGGCTAGCTCATGAGTCATGGTGGTGCAAGGATTAGCTCGGTCGTGTACACTCTGGAGCGAGGAAAGAAAGGGGGAAGGCCTTGTGGCCAACTATTTGTAATCCTTTAATTGCATGTCTTGACCTTTGGACATGCTGTCTTTTCGTTCCCATAATTACATTCGTGCAGCACTTGCATCAATCTGTTGTCGAAGGTTTTATGAGAATGTAGCACCCTTTTGCTACTATCCAGTGCTGTCAACTGGGAGACTGTGGGGCTAAGGCTGGAGTCGTGCCAGTCACGGAGGAACATTTCGCTTTTTCTGCTCCCAGAGCCGGCGCCATCGAGGCTGACATCGTTTTGGACAGAGAAAAGGACATTGTCTCGCTCAAAGATTAGACAGTTGCACTCACCAGTGTATGTGAAGGTATGCCTAGAAATAATGATGCCGATGGCTTCCTGTTCAACTTCAAACTGATCACAAGCTTTGTGCAAATAAACATAGCCACTCTTCGATCCATGACGCTTAAGGAAATAAGAACCTGCCTCCCCCAGTCCTGCCTACAGCACCGTTATCTCTAAGGACCTGTATCGTTTCATCGTGGCCTCCAACCGCGGCGCTTTGAAGTGCAATCTGGCCTTTTCGTCCCTTGAAGCTACAAGCATTCACATCAGCACGGGCTGCCAACAAGCGTTTGATTATGTCCACATGGCCTTTCTCGGCTGCGGCATGTAAAGCCATCCCATCTCCGTAAATGCCTCCCAGGGCGTAAACATTAGCGCCTTCCTTGATAAGAAGATCGACTATCTCGAGATGACCTCGTAGACATGCCCCTTGAAGAGCTGTGTAGCCCTTGTACTTTGCTGAGGCACCATTGATGTCAGCCCCATGTTGGAGAAGAATCTTCAATATCGTCATGTAGCCGCCGCCTGCTGCAGCCTGTAATGCCGTGTAACCTGCCGTTGGTGACGGCGGAGCATTCACGTCGGCTCCCAATCCCAGTAGTCGGCTGACCAAATGCTCATGTCCTCGCTCCGCTGCTGCCTGAAGTGCCGTTCTTCCGTTGTATCGGGTCACGACAACTGACGACGCTGGTGACCCGTGTGTCGGATGCGCAGGCTTCGACAACACCTCGTTGACCTTGGCCCCAGCACTGAGCAGAATGTCGACAACCTTCTCGTTTCCATGTCCGCAGGCGATCTGCAAGGCATTTCTTTGGAAGTTATTGCCTCCGCAGAAGTGGATATCGGCCCCGGCGTCAACCAGCATCTGCACCGCCTGTTTGTGGCCATGCATGCATGCAGCCTGGATGGCCGTCTGTCCGTAGTAGCCGCGCGGGGGGTCGTTAACGGCCTCCGGGTCGGCGGCAAGGATTTCCCGTATGTTTTCCAGTTCTCCGCCTCTGGCGGCAAGCTGCAACGGCGTCCAGCAATATTCCTCTCCGTCGTCGGTCTGCAGGGTCGGGTCCCATGCGGCATCCAGAGGCGGCAGAAACTTCTGCATCATGTGCCAAAGACTCGAGGTAGCAGGTGGTACCGTGGGATTCAGACGGAGTCATCCGGCACAGGGGCTATGAAAGGATGAAAATGAGTTGTGGTACTGTACAAAATGACAACAATCCAGGTCAAGTAAGCCAGTCAGATTTATTTTGGAAGGCGCATGCACTGAGTCGTAAGCTGTTAGGGAAAAGCCATCTGCCTGTTGTCTGGCCAAGGTCGTTCGATTATCTTACATGCGCTAGCTTGCTGAATCCTGGTGATTATCGGGATTCGGCACAGATGCCATCGTCAAGCTGCGGGGGTCAAAAACCGCAGGGGTCTGGAGCGAGACAAACGGATAGAGGGATCTCTTTCTCTCTCGATGCTGACTCCGGTGCACTATCGGTCGTCGGTCCGTTTTGAGTAGTATTCAAGAGCCCTTGCTGGCTTCTGTGCTTAAAACACTGCGCAGGCCGCAGGGTAATAGCAGTGCCTCAACCAGCCATTCACAATACACCGAACTTGATATCGGACCCGACGTCTCAAAGTATGAAAGCAACCAAGCACCATTTTATTTCTTCTACTAAACTCAAAGAAGAACAAAACAAACAACACGATGGAAATCAGCAACGGTAAAGACAGTATGGCCCATCCTCAGCCATCTCTCAATCCATCATCTTGCATTCCCTATCCAATGTATCGACAACCTCGCGTGAGCATAGGTCATGTACGTGGCGTTCGTGACCTCTTATTGCTGTTCAAAAAGGTCTAATCCGATGCAAAGCACCCCGCCCATGCCGCAAGCCCAAGCGGCGTGATTTGATCCTCGGCGATTAACCGCAGAGGGCCTTGGCGTAGCACGCGTCGTCGATGAACCTCTTAGCAGCGGTGACGGCGTCGTCAACAGGCGCACACTGGCGAGCCTTGAGGCGGCGAGCGCCGACAGAGAGCTCGCCGTTACCACCGCAGCCCTCGCCGCCCTGGGCAAACGCATTCCAAGGGGAGAGAGTCCAGGCTCGGTGGCCAGCGGGGAAGCCCGCAAGGCTGGGTTGACCGTTGTTAGGTCTCAAGCTGTTGTAGATCCTGCCCTCAAACTCGTTGTTGTCCTGCATGCCGGCAGCGTCGGCGACACCGTTGGTGTAGTGTCTCCAGCGGATGACCTGGTCCCAGCTGAAGCCGCCGAGCGCGGCATACTCTTGCTCGTTCGGGTAGGGGCTAAATTGGCCGAGGGTGCCGGAGACCTGGATGAAGTTGCCCGCCGCCGCGATCTCGTAGACATAGCCGTTGCCGTTAAACATCTGTGTGAGGAATCTGACAGCGGTATCTTCGCTGGCGGTAGTTGAGACGTAGCCATCGTTATCGCGACTGGCACCGCTCTCTGCGCCGACCGCATGGTTATACATGCTGACGTTCGGAGTAACTTCAAGAATCCCGCTGGCTCCTCTCGGGGCAAAATTGCCAGCAGCGCGCATCTCAGTTGGAGTCCTGGTATCGGCGCGCCACACTCTGAACTGAGCATTGCACAGAGCAGTCCACAGGTTAAGGACAAAAAGAATGAGAATGTTCTTCTGGAACACCATGTTGGCGATTTGTCGTGCAAACGACGAGACAGCTAATGACAAATGAGGGACAGTGTAAGACAAGGCTTGAGAGAGTGGCTAGTGTTGAGTAGCGAATGAAGTGATGGTGATGATGATAAAAGACAGAGTTGACAGGTGAGAAGACATCCTCCTTTATAGTTCTCCTGACGCTCATGATGCTCAGCATCTTCTCACAGCTGAAGTCTGACGACTTTGACGTGGGCAGTACTTCTCTCTCTCAGCACGCTGTCATGCTCTCGATCTTGGCAACGATCTTCGTAGTGGCTGAGTGTCGTCGACTCAAGAGATAGCGTTCTTGGGATTTCGAGGTCAAATGCCGGCACTATGACTAGGTTCAAACCCAAGCCTGGCTCCGCTCTTGGTGTTCAGTACTTCGCTCTCAACATGACGCCGTACCCGAAATCTTGGACACGAGCTTCCATGTTCTGGTGGCTTGGTATTGACAACCCAAGAGACAACTGTTGCGAGGGCGATATCAAAAGCCCGCACCATAACTAAGTTCAACCTCAAGCTTGGCTCGTACGAGCACATTTAGATATTAGACACAAGCTGCGGTGCCGGCTTTATTCCGAAAATATTTCAACTTGATTGAGTCGAACGCTCTCGAACGCTTGGCATCGCAATCCGACCTAGTGTAGAATAGCTCAAACGCTGTACCCCACTCCATCTGTCATCAAACAGACAATGCTCGTTATTGAATTAGGTGCTAGCCGGTCAAATCGTACGCAAAAGCGGAGAATGATGTCCTCGTAAGGCTATGTTAAAAAGCTCTTTGAGACAGATTTCCCCGAGATCTCCGGAGCACACATCCACTCTCTTTCATGGTCCCAAGTTGTAAAGGCAACCACCGCACCTTATCTCGTCATCTCACACATTCAATCTTTCACACGCTACCCACTCCTGCATCGTTCGCGCGACCATTACTGGACTACAAGGCTTCTCTCTGCAGACCTGTTGCACCGCCCGCTACCAACTTCCATCCAGTCAGAACATCATCATCATGAAGAACCCAACCACTGCGCCCTGGAGCCTCAGCGCCTCTCGCAACGACGTTGAAAAGCTCCTCCGGGGCTTCCGGCCGGCGGCGATGGAGGACCGCTGGATGTTCCGCGCAGACGAGCCAGACGTCCGCGGAGACTTCGTGGTGCATGTGCACAGAAGCTGGACTGGGGACGAGCTTCTGCGCATAAACGTGGTCTTGGCGGCTCCGGGTGGAGGTGCCCCACCAGCAAACACCGACGAACCTCACGCTTCGATAACCGACATCACGTGGGACAGGGGGGACGGCGGTTTTCTTTCTACCGAGGCGGAGGCTAAGGAACTAGCAACTGCCCTGTTACGGAATGTGCTGGGGTGTGACTTGTGAGCTACGCTAGATGAGGAAGTGTGTTCGCTTCCAGATCAGATGCAGAGGGCATTCATAGTTGAAATATACCGAGACCGAGGTTGCTTATTGTTTTCGTCAAAGAAATAGGATGATTATGTCTCCCGTGTCATCAGAGCTGTTGAAAGTGTCGTAACTATCGTGCATGTTATCCCCTCAGTGCGTGCTGCTGGACTGCAGTCCTTAAGGTGATGACCGGCGAAAGTCTTTCCCAACTTTGCTCAACCACAAGACTCGCAGTTCTCCAAAAGGAAAGTATCACTATTTCCAGATTAGATGAACCTTCCATCTTCTACATTCGTGTTGTGAAGTCCACCAGCAGTCAATGGATTAAACTTTCTTAGTCTGTGCAGACGCAAGCTAGTCGATCTTGGCCTTTCAACTAGGTTCGACTGGTCTGACGTTGCCCAGATCTTATCAACTATGTTCAGAACGACCGTTTAAGGCATCGTCCATCACAATTTCAAGGCGGAGTAACCCTTAGCAGGGCTGCAGCGCCAAGATGCGTCATGTGGATTTGGACGTGCAGATATTCTCCGTCCCGGTCCGCGGGTTGTCGCCGGCAGTCCAGACTCCAGTGCGGTTCGTCCCCACACCCGCCATCCGAAGGGGCCGAAGGAAGAGATGAAGAAGACGGACGGCATATTTTTCTTGGCGGAGGCGCAATGCGCCAGTTTTCCAGCAGTGTCAGGCTATTCTATGAATCGCCATTGATTTGGGCAGTAAGTTCAATTATCCTGAGTTTGAGCCCCGTACTTGCCAAGTCCGGCTTTCGACCGAACCATCTACAATACACGCAACTCTGGAGACATTTCAGCCCTGCATCAACGTCTTTTCAAGATGTTCATTGGTACCAGATGTGTGCTAGAGTCTACTTCTTGAGTCAGCTGGCTTGATCTGTCTATTTCAGTCTTTCCGACGGCATCTCCCAGTCCTAGCTGGGCATATCTGATCCGAAAACGAGGTGTCTCGGTCAGATGTGCCTTCTCTCACCCAGATAGGCATACCTGGCCCGAAAGTACTCGTATCCTGCAATACTAATAGGCATCTTGTCTCGCACTTCGCTGAACAAACCAGAACACTCATTCACCAGCCACCAGCTTTGTCTCTTCAACTCTACTTTCACTTAAAAACTTACACAAAACACTCGTTTTACTCATCCACCCTCAAAATGCGTGCCGCCGCCTTCATCGCCACATACTTCCTTGCTGCAAGGTTCGCTGATGCACAACCCCATTCAATCCATTCTGTATATGGCTAACCACAAGCACTGTCTTATAGCGCTGCCGCTCAGACGATCTACTGCTGCAGCTCCAACGAGAATGACCAAATTGTGTACGAGACAGATGAGACCGCTGTCTGCTGCCAGAGCTCTGGAGGCCAACTTCAAGGTGTAAGTTGGTTGAGAATAGACCGGAAACTCTGACCAGCGGCTAACCTTGTGTGATTGTTAGGATGAGTGTTTGCTGGAAGTAGGACGCTTTGGGTTCAGCCAATGCTGCCGTCAGCAGACAGTCTTCACTTGCGATTTCTAATCTGCAGAGACCGCTGATGAGAAGATGGTGTACTGCAGTTGAAGTGCCGTTGAATTTCTGTGTATGTGTGCATGATAAACACTGGAGTGGTTGTCCGTGGTCGTGTATCTTTGTTAGAAGCAGATAGACTGTTCATTATGCTTGTTACGAAATACCATTCCCATGGTTCGAGAACTTTAGACTGCACCTTAACTCTACATGGGTTAGCCATAGAGGTTACGCTCCCTCCACATGTTTCCCCGTCAGAGTCATACGGCAGTCAACAAGGTGCGCCTCCAGGCGGCAAACTGCGAAGAAGAAAACTTAGAAAGGAAGAAAGATCCCTGCTAAACTCTTATGATGCCAGGCCCTTGCTGATTAAAACCCCACATCGTTAGAGGAGCAGATCTATCTTCTACCCTTTAAGCCCAGCTACATCTAATTTGTAGAGGTTTACGCCACACTATAAAAATTCTATTTATACTTTAATAAATACCTACTATATATTATGATACTGTTTATAATAACTAGGAAAGCTTTAATCTAGGTTTATAAGAATATTATTAATAACCTTAATAGCTTATAGATAACTTACTATATAAGATTATATAAGAGGAAGAATATAGGTTTATTCTTCTTTTACTTATTAACTATCTTTAATAAGATTAACTTATTATAATTAAACTTATTAAAATACTTATTACTAAATTAATAAATTAGAAAATAAAATAGAAGGTTAACTTTATTACTCTTATAAAAAAGTATAAATAAGAGCTCTAAAATAATATTAATAATATAAATCTTAATATTAGGTCCCTAAATAAGTTTAAAGATAAATATTACTACTAAATATTTATCTACTAAATTACTATATACTTCTTCTCTAAATCTAATAATATTAAAAGTATTAATACTTATAAATAAGAGTAAAAGAATCTCTATAAAAAGCTTAAATATAATAAGAAAATAGAAGAGGTTTAAGATAAGCTTAATAAACTAGATAAATTTAAAGAATATAAAAATAAGGTAATTATAGCGATCGCTATAATCCTCCCTAACTATTAAAGCTAAGAGAAGCAAAGGGGGAAGGGAAGGGAGAAGGGAAGGGGGGTGGTTATAAGGGTAGCCTGCATGCTAGTAGAGTTTCTAAAAAGTACACTTTAATACACTATGTTACTTCACAGTGAAAGCGTGTCTTGCTAGTGTAGGCGTACTAGTAGAGGCGTGATGATCTGTTGAGGCGTTTTACTGTCCTCGATAAAGTTGCGCATCCATCGCGTTGTGCAATGGATGGCTCGAGCAGATCCATAAATGTTGATAGTTATTTAGGACTAAAGTGGTAGTCAGGTTAGTGACGACCGGCGAACTTCCGGTGTCGCCGTCTTGGCTCCACGTAGGGCTGCGACCTCTCATCAAAAAGTGCGGCGGACATAGCTCAGTTGGGAGAGCGTCAGACTGAAGCGGGTTTACATCCGGGAAACTTCATTCAATCAATCTGAAGGTCGTGTGTTCAATCCACACTGGCCGCATATTCTTTTGCTTTTGCTTTTGTTCAAAGAATTCCTTTTGCTTCTTGCGCTGACAGACTGACAGATGGAAGTAAGATGTGGCTGACACTCCCACGTCAACCTTTTGGGCTGGTTGAGTTGTGGCATCTGAAATGTATTGAGAAGGTTACATCTGGGCGCACGCTGGGCTTGCTTCGTTTGTTCAACCAATACAAGCAGTATTACTCGGGGGATGAGGGGGATGAGTGATGGCAAATGGTTCGAACTCATCGCCCTCTCCCCCTGATCCACAGCTTCAAAGGAGGTTTTTCGCGGAAATGGACCATGCCATTTCCATCGGATGCACAAGCCGGCGGGTGGTCTCTAGAGTAGGCTCGACCCGCAATTGCGGCAGACAGCCGATCGCGCATGGGCACCCGGCCACCGAACATCCACTGAGCTAGCAAACATGGGGCGAGAACGTTGCTTCTATTCCCTACGCCGTACAAACAACACAAGTATATGACCATTTGCTCTGCGCCCTGCCCCCCTCCCTGCGACCTTGCTGCCCAGACAGCGACACAACCTGAGGATCGTAAGCGATCCCAAACGCCTCTGACGCTCAGAGGGCAGGCGGCGAGTCCTCATCCATCCTCTCAGGGGAGTCCTCCATCACCGGAGGAGAATCCTCGTCCATCATCTCAGGCAGCTCCATATCCACTTCGGTCGGCGCAGTGGACTGAGAGCGAGCCACACTAGTGGACTGGGAGGCGCCAAAGTCAGACACACTTATCTGGCTGGCAGGTGGGATCTGGGTTCCTTGGGCGACTGTGTTCTCGCCGGCGTCCTTGGTGTCGTCCTTGGTGTCGTCCTTGGTGTCGTCCTTGTTGTCGTCCTTGGTGTCGTCCTTGGTGTCGACCTTGCCCTCCTCAGCGAATACACCAGCGAGCTCCAGCTCGTGATTCTGCAGGTCTTTCATCTGGGCGTCATGGAGGTCATTGATAGTCTTGCCGTTCGCACTGCATATGTTAGCTGCGGTCATCTAGCTAGGTACAGTCTGGTAGCTTACAGAGCCTCGCGGACTTCGCGAGCAATGGCGCTCTGGTCGGCGCGCGCTTTCTCCAAGGCGGCCTTGGACTTGTTGACGAGGTTCTGGATGGCCATCTGCTGCCTAGGAGACATGTTGAAGTGATGCTCTTCAAGAATTTGAGTGTAGATGCGGACTGCTTGCTGCGCATGGTCAACGTATTCGTGAGGAGAACCAGCGAGCAACAAGTGCATTCCCGCACGATGGAAGTCTCCGAGGCGAGGCTCCATCAAAAGCTTCATGGCGTCAGCCTCAGCCTTCTCGTAGTCCCTTTGCTGGTAAAGCGTCCAGACGTGGTCGTATCTCGACTCGAACATAGCTGTCAGAGGTCAGCGCAAGATTGAAGGTGCAGGCGGAGGATCAGTTTACCTCCGAGGTTGCCCAGTGGGTGCTCCTGGGGAGCCGAAGCTGGTGCATATGAAGCGTTCGCCATGGTGATTGGGATTCGTGATGTGAGAGGAATGTGGAAAGTGGAAGGAAGTAGATTTTGTCCACAGTTATGGGAAGGACGGATACCAAATGCTGAGCTGATAATGTACGTACCTATTGGTGTGAACCTGGAGTAAAGCGGCAGGCACGTCTGATGTTGGAGTGTGGGTGAACGCGCCACAACACACCTGCCATTCAATAAAGGATGGTGACATATATGGAAAAATCTGGTTGAATCTGCATCAGTACTTTCTATCACTCATTGTGTCCATTTTTAAACAGCAGTCTTTTTCAGCTCTACAGTGTGCTTCAGCTTGCCTAATTATATCTGGCGCGAAAGACATGGAAGGCGAAAATGCAAGGCACGCTGTTTCTAATTGGTCAGCTTCATATGGTGTAAACAAGCTCATGAGCCAGCCTTTGCTATGGACTGCGTTCCTGCCTTCCAAAGCTTTTTCTTCACGGCGAAGAGCAAATGAAAAGTTTTCACTCGACTAGAAAAGACCACAGTCCACCGGGCTGCAGAGGAAAGTCCACTCGAGAAGAATTTGTACATCATGAAGAATTTGTCAGCTGCCTTCGAAATAACTTTTGGAACCATTCTCCATGCTTATTGTCTTTTGGGTGAGGGTTTGCAGACTTGTGTTTTACTTGTCATGCTATCTTATCCCTCTGTCCGTTCCATGTACCAATGTACGCCTGATGATATTCATGGATCTCTACTGATATTTCCGCTGTTGTCTCCATCCACTGACGTCTCTGTCCGTTGGTGTCTCCGTCCGCTGAAGTCTTCGTCTGATGGCGTCCATCTGTTGGTATCTCTACCTCTGTCGTCTCTGCATCTGTAGGTGCCACTGGTCAATGCCTCTTTCCGTCCCTCTCGTGCCTTTGTTCTGCTCCTGTTTCCCACCCTCTTTCAGTCTGGTCATGTCTGCTCAACCAATCTTGCAAAGCTGCGCCTTCAGGCTAAAAGTCCTTACTATCTTCGTGCACGCTGGAGTTTTCCTTGACGCTCCCGGGGCTCTACTGAAATCTCTTCAGTACATTTTAGTGACAGCGCACAACGACCTCCCACACGACGGGACTGCCACTCAACTTTCGATTGTCCACTTGCACGCTTTTAAACTGTCCCCGCCTTTCAACCACACACCCTTCGACCACCCTACCCTTCGACCAACCCTCCCTCCTACCACCTCACTCAGCCTCCAACCACCTCCTTCCTGGAACCCGTCACTTTCGACAGACAATAAGGGGTAACTCTATCTTCCAACTCACAAAAGCAAACGGACTCGCTAACATGATCCAGGCCATGCCAGGAAACCGATCCGCTATCGCGGCCGCGAGACGAGGTGGCCGTAGGGTCGTAACCCGTTCCATGACGCGTGACGCCGCTGCCGCTGCCGCTGCCGCTGCCTCTGTGGCCGGCGATTCCAGTGATTCACCCCAAGACTCGCCTTCGGGCGAGTCCAGCAGTAGCGCTGCTGCTGGTTCCACCCACGCTGTCAATCCCACTTCCCACCCTGCCGCACACGACTCCTCGGCCGGCGTTTCCACCGCTCCAGTTGAGCCTCGATCTCAATACCATCCCTCAGCAGAGATTGCCAATACCACCGACGAAGGTTCCGACCCCGAGCCTTACAGCACTCCGATTCCTGCTCGTGTGGGCACTCAATTTGACCCTTCCGTCGAAATTGCCAACACTACCGACGAAGGCTCAGACCCGGAACCGTACAGCACCCCCATCAACCCTCATGATGCAGTGGGCATTTCAGTCCACCAGCTTCCCGCCGACTCGGACGCGAACGTTGCCAGCAGGGGAATCAGCCCTCGCCAGGCAGCCGCTGCGACGTCCGCCCCTTTTCACGGAACGGTCACTCAGGTCCCCGCCGCCGTTTCTCTCGTCAGTTCTGACATTGAGGACACCGACTCCAACTTGACTCAGCAGCAAGCCTCTCCTTTGTCTTCGAGCCCCCCTGTTGCAGAAGAACCCGCCGCTTCTCCTGAGCCCGCCTCTGACATCGAGGATGTCGACTCCGACTCGTCTCAGCAGGAAGTCGCGGCTTTGTCTTCAAGCTCCCTTGACTCCGATGAGCTTGCTCCCGTCCCTGAGCCCACATCTGACCATTATGACACCGACTTCGACCCGGACCAGCACCAGTCGTCAGACTCGCCAGACTCTCCGTCCAGCCCCGCCGAGGACACCTCTTCAGACTCGGACGGGAACCGATCTTCCCCTTCACCTCCCCCGAAGCGCAAGAAGCTCAGCAAGTCTCCGATTTCGCGTAGCAGAAGCGAACAGATTATCACCAAGGACGAGGTGACGAGCGCGCCTCATGGATACACACTTCCTCCCTTCAGACCGATTCCAGTTGCCGGTTTTTGGACCGATATCGACACCCGCAACAAGGCCAAGGTCCAGCAGGCCTTGAAGGGTATCAACTTGGCGTCTACCAAGTTACTCGTCACCTCCGCCAGGACTGGAGTCAAGCATTCTCTTGACTTGCTTCTAAGCCTCCCCGTTCAAAGAGCCTTCAGCAGCCGTGTGCAATCGTGGACGACGGGTTTGCGCGGAAGACCGGAAGACCGGAAGGACCAGTGGCAGCTAGTGGCCTTCATCCCTGACACAGAGACCCTCTTTGTCATGGCACGTATTTGGGCATCCGATTACACCCGCGAAGAGGCCGTTATTCTCTGCGATGAACTGATAGAAGTCTTCAATCGTTGGCCAGGACCCTTGGAACTCATTTCGCACGCGATGGTCGGATTCAATGCCACGCCTCCTACTAGCAAGATGCTTGTTCAAGCTTGTCTCATCAAGCGCTTTCCTGCGAAGGCCATTCTCTGCTATCTTCCGAAATTCTACACTCCTACCGACAGGCGCCCCGCCCGTTTCATCTGTAACGTCCGCATTCTCGACCCAGAGACCTACTCGTTCCATCAGGACACGAAAGAACTCACTGCTGCGAATGTTAGCGCTATGGGGGACGTTCCTGAGGTGACTGATCGGTATCACTTTGTCGAGATAACCAGCAAAGATGAGATCGTCCGCCGAATCAAGAAGGAGTCGCAGAGTGAAGGTGCGGAGCCCACATTTGCCTCTGTGCTCCCTCCACAGGACGAGCTCGATGACATGGAGATCGACGATGCCGAGAAGCAAGGTTTGTTGAAGGCAGAGCGTGTATGCCGTCTGTATTCCGCATCGCTGGCTTTGAACGGAAGAATTCTCAACAAGCAAGCTGCCAAAGAACTGTGGACAACCATTGTTGAGAGTCACGGAGGCCATCTTCTCAGGGGCGATGACGCATCCGCTCTCACCTTTCAGGGGACGCGTTGCTCAAGGTCTATCACTATCGACACAATTCGACCAGCTCCGTCATTCCAGGTCGCCGAGTTTCCAATATGCTGAATGAGATAGACCCCTCGTACGAATTCCCTTCCCTTGTCATCCGGTCCACCAATCGGGCTTGGTGTAAGCCTGTTGAGCAGGTCATTCAAGATGTCTGGACCCTCGAGGGGGATCTCAAGGAAGCATGGGTCCGTGGCGCAGAGGCAGCTGATGAGGTCAACCGCGCCATCCAGGATGGCGACAAGCCTCCCAACTTCTGCGAGTGTACCCCAGAGATGTCTGTCACGGTCTCTCACGACTGCGCTGGATGCGGACGCCGCTTGCTTTGTTCGCAGTTGTCTGTGAGCAACTTCGACGGGCAGCGGGTCTGCCGCCCCTGTGACAGTCGGCGCGCCGGATGGAAAGCTGACAACCATATCAGCCAGACGTTGAGAAACATGCTCAGAATTCTCACCGACAATGAAGTTATCAAGGCTGGAGGCACGATCTCAGATGCTGAAGCCGAGGAGAACAGGAAGCAACTTTATGCCTCCGTCATCGCATCGCTCCCCACAGTCGAGGAGGCAAAGGCTGCTGGTGTACCTCACGGGCTTGCCTTCAAAAATCACTACACCGGCAAAATTCACAGCGTTCAGATCGATTCAGCTTACGGTTCACGCACCGACCCCGAGAGACCAAGCGTCGACGCTGCGTTCCCGACTTGGTTGACAGAGAACGGATATCGAGTCCACGTGCCCGAGAATGTTCGAATCACGACATCTGCGTTGAACCATGTGAAGGCGCATAACATCCCTGCTTTCCTTTACATACTTTGTTGGTATTTGAAGCAAGTTGATGGTATCAAGGAGGAGCACAAGTCCGATCTTGACAGTGAGAACGCCCTGCGTGCTTTCGAGGAGGCTCGGACAAAGATGATCGACTTCTGCCGCCGCATGCGTGAGATCCGTTTGGGATTTGCTTGGACTATCAAGGGTCGCATGAGAGCCGCTGTGGACAGTCAGGAAAAGTTCGCGTATGACATGGAGCCAGTCATCTCTGGACGCCGACGCAGACACGCCGGCAAGGTACCGTGGGAGGAACCTCGTTTTCTCAGCACTATTTATATCAACAGACCCCTCAACTGGCCGGGTGACGAACGCAATCGCGTCCAATGCTTGGTCGACGAGATACAGGAGCACTTCAGAGTTAAGCTTGACAAAAGCGCGGACAACTGCCCTTACCCCTTCCATCCCAGCACTAAGCCATCTAATTGGAGCTGGCAAGTTGCTATGGCGCTTATGTCAGAGCGATGGGAGCGGATGAGGCAGAAATGCAACCAGTATTGGCCGACCTCGGATACCCCTACCACCATCTTCTTGGAATGTGTGTTTCAGAGCTGCATCGAAAGGTGTCATCCCGTTCTTGGTGACGTTCACTACGAGGAGTGGAAGGCTCTCAAGGCCGAGTACGCATCGTCCATTCTCGAGCTCCCAATGGGCATCGCCATCTGCGACCCGCTCACCATGGCCGTTGCCCATAAGGTCCACGGTGAGGGTATGTATACCGGCTGGCCTGTTCATGCCACTGAGCTTCGTGAGAGACTGGAGAATAACCAGCTCAACAACATCTTGATCGAGCCGAGGACGGAGAATTTCCTCAAGATGGATTACCATACTTCC